TACGTAGCTCCCCACCGGCGCGTACGTTTCGTCGTAGTCTGCGCCGTAGATCTGTGTGAAGCCCTTCACCACCAGACGCGCCTTCTCGCGGGCGACCGTTTCATCGACGTGGTACTTCGCCGTGAGTACCCAACGATTTTTCATCACGTTGACACCACGCGGACGCTCGACCAGCTCCCATGTCCCATTAGAGATGAGACTCTTGATCTCCTCATCCATGGCGACCTTCACCGCCTTGCCCTTCCAGCTCGCCAATGCCTCCTTCACCGTCATGTTGGCGATGTCCCAGCGATGCTCTGGGTCGGCGTGCATGTCGGGGTCGAGCTCGGGAAGATCGACGTCGTCCTCTGCGTCGTCGTGCAGAGTACTGTAGGCCGTCGGCGGCAGACAAGCGTGGTAGCTCAACTTCTCCGGAGGCTTGCCGAAGTTGGAGCGGGTAGAATGCCGCTGCTTCACCTCTTCGACCGGAACCTCCACCACGTCACTGTCCTCAGACTGCTCCCCTCTCGACAGCTCCCCTTCACCGCCGGCCACACCGACGACTCCCACAACGTCGTCGCTCGACGAGTCGTCGTCGAACTGCTCCCCTGAGGTCGGCGCCTTTGCCGACGGCTTCTCTACGGTCGGCGCCTCTGCCGACGACTTCTCTTCGGCCGGCGCCTCTGCCGACGGCTTCTCTGCGGTCGGCGCCTCTGCCGACGACTTCTCTGCGGTCTTCTTCGACGTCGACGACTCCCCTATCGTCTGCCGCTTCGCGTCGATGACCTTCTCGGCGTCACGTTGGCCACCGGCGATGCAATCGGTCGGCGCCGCAGGCGACGTACCAAGTCTCCCCTCATCGCCGACGGCCGACGAGGATCCCTGAACAGGGGGAGGGGGGGAGGGGGTGACATCGTCTGCGTCGTCCTCATCAAGCTCGTCGTCCGCGGCGAGCAGTGGAGGGTGCACCGAGGAGGAATCCGTCGGCGGGGTAGAGGGCGTCCTCGTCGACGCCAGGCCGTACTCCACCTTCCACATCTCCATCGACAGGGTCTCGTAGAAGATCGCTTCGACCGTCGTGACGACCTTGTTGTCCGTCAAGTCGAGCACCTCCCAGCCCTTGCTCTCTGCCGACACTCCGAGGTGAAGACCCCAACGGGCCTTCGGCGCCAACTTCCCGCCGCGCCGCTGCTCGGGGACCATGAACTGCACCATGCAGCCCCACACGCGCGCCAGCGTCAAGTCCGGCTTCTTCTCGAACAGCAGCTCGTGCGGCGTCGTCCCCGAAGGCAGAGAAGCCCGTTCGAGGCAATTGCGCACCCAGACAGCCTGTCGCAGAGCAAGATGCCACCAGTGGTGCTTCACGCCCATGTGCAGAAGCATCGTCCGCATAGCCTCGACGACCGTGCGCATCTCCCGCTCTGCCATGCCGTTCTGCTGCGGAGTGTAGGGGCACGTCAGATTGTGGAGGATCCCCTTGTCTTCGACGAGGTTGGTGAAGGCGCGACCGAGGAACTCCCCTCCGCGGTCAGAACGAAACATCTTCACCGTCTTCGAAGTCTGCCGCTCCACCACCTTCAACCATTTGTCGAAGACGACCAGCACGTCGCTCTTCTTCGCGATCGGCCTCACCCACACGTAGCGAGTCATCCTGTCCTTCAGCAGAAGAAAGTAGAGACTGCCATCGTTGGCGGCAACTCGAAACGGCCCGCAGAGGTCGATGTGCACCACGTCGAGTGCATTCTCTGCGTCCGATCCTTGGTCGGGGAAGGTGTGCCGCGCAATCTTGCCGCCGACGCAGGAGGCACACGGCAGATCATCTGCGGTCGACTTCTTGATGTCCAGACCGGCAGCGACCTCGTGCTTCGCCGAGCTCTTGATCATGTCGACGCCGACGTGCGCAAGTCGAGCGTGCCACATGTCCGGGGTCGACTTCGTCGCAGACGCGATCGTCCGCAGAGCCACCACCTCCGTCGAAGTCATCGTCGACGTCGTCGAGCAGGGGCGCAGGTCGGTGCAGAGAATTCTGCCGGAGTAGCGTGCTCGACCAAGGACATCGCTGGAAGAAGACACCAGCAGCATCTCTCCGCCATCGTCCTGAAGCTTCACGCCGTTCTCCTTGAGCTGGCCAGCAGAAAGCAGGTTCGCGTGCACACCCGGAACGTAGAGTACGTCGTGGACGAGGACCTGCTTCCCGGCCTCCCCTTGCAGAACAACGGTGCCTCTGCCTTCGAGGCTCTGAAGTGCCCTGTTGAAGCCGCGGACGTGTCAAACGTCGCCGCTCGGCTGCATGTCGATGAAGGCCTCCTTCGTCCCCATCAAATGGTGGGAGCAGCCGCTGTCGAGCAGCACAACAGTCGGATTGGCCTGCACAGCGGCAGCGACCGCCTTGAAGTCTTCGCCAGCCTCCAGCGCCAGCGAGATCGTCGGCTCTACCACTCTGACCATCGAGCACGAAGCCTCCTCGCCACGAGCATTGCCGCCAGAGGTGTCAGCATCCTTCGTCGAAGACGTCTTCGACGGCTGCTTCTCCTTGCGCGGCTGGTTGTTACGACGACGACGTCCACCATCAGACTTTCTGCGGTTGGCGTCCCGGTCGTCGTCAGACTCGTCTCGGTCGGGGCAGTCGTACGAGAGGTGGTCGGGAGCATCGCAGATGTAGCAACGGCGTCCTTCTCGACGCGAGCCACCGCCTCCGCGATCACCTCCTTTCGCCGACTTTCCGCGGTCGGCCCCCTCCGTCGATTTCGCGTTCGACGACTTCCAGCCTCCGCCTCCGCCAGACTGACCACGCTGCCCTTGTTGGCGTCCCTGCTTCGCTGGGGCGACGTAGTTGGCCTGCGGAAGTAGTTCTACGGATCGCTCAGACTCCTGCATAAATTCGTCCTGGATTATGTGGCTCGACAGCGAGTCCTCGTTCAGAGCCTCGCGTGTGCCAGGAACCGTCAGCATTCTGCGCATGAGATTGTAGCCGGAGGGGAGGCCGCTGATGACATGGGTGACATACGATGCCACCGAGTAGTCGACGCCGGCCATCCGCAGATCGGCCAAGACTCGCCGCGCTCGATTGCAGTACTCGGTCGCCGATTCCTGCTCCCCCATGCGAATGTTGGTCAACTTCTTCTCCAGTTGACTGATGTAGAGGTCGTCGGTCGCTTTGTAGGTGCGCATGATGTACTGCCACGCTTGGTAGCCAGCATCCACTCGTTGTCTGCACGACTTCAATGCGACCTGCACCAGAGGCGAACAACACCTCGAAATGACCATGAAGGTTAGTAGATGAGCAGCGCGAAATTCCGCCCAGAGTTCGGAGTCGTCTGCGTCCGGCGTATCAACAATGCCGTCGACGAACCTGCTGCCCGCGCCGCCCAGGCCGAGCCGCGCGGCCTAGCCCGAGCTGCCCTGGCCAACCCGATCCGCCCTGCTGCTCGTGCTACTGCTGCTGCTGGTGGAGGTGCTGCTAGGAGTGCTGGAGGTGCTGCAGCCTAGCTTCACCGAGCCGCTCTGCTGCTCTTACTGCTGCTACTGCTGCTCGTGCTACTGCCTTCCCTCCGTACTGCCCTACTGGTCGCGCGCCTCCTTGCTTGCCCGCTAAGACTTCCCTTCGTAGTAGCAGTGGGAGTGGTGACGGCGGTGGTGGCAGCAGTTGGAGAGGTGGCGGCCGTAGTAGCGGGCGCTGTGGAGCTGTTCGGCGGGGAGCTTCTGGCGGTGGCCAGATCCAGCTGCAGCGGCATCCGAGCGAGACCTTTACGCCCCAGCAGCTTCGTGAGTGGTACGCCAGTAGGTGTGGTGGCTGCGGCCGTAGTAGCAGTCGCGGTGGAGCTGTTCAGTGCGGAGTTTCTGGAGGTGGCCAGATGCAGCTGCAGCGGTGTCCGCACGAGACCCTTACGCCCCAGCGGCGTCTGCAGCTTCGTGAGTGGTACGCTCAGAGTGGGGGGACTTGGAGTACTGTCCGCTGCTCGTACGTCATTCGCACAGGTGATCGGGCTGGCCAGACTTGCGGGACAGTTGGTCACACACAGGCTCGCTGCTTCGCCTGTCTGAGCGACGCCTGGCGTGCAGTGTTTGGCGACGAGGCTGAGCTCCCCCGCTGGCTAGAGCTGCTTCGGAACAAGGTGGATATCTTTGCTCTAGACTAAGACACTATCCTCACTGCCATGTATGCTTTGCCTACTAGTACTCAGGGTGACTGTTACCTCTGTGTGCCGCCCGACCCTGGTATAGCGGCTACTGCTTTAGGTGCTGGTGAGTCTGCTCTAGGTGCTGGTGAGACAGCTCTAGGTGCTGGTGAGACTGCTCTAGGTGCTGGTGAGTCTGCTCTCTCTGGTACTGCGCCTGCTGAGGCCTTGCATACCTTCACGCTTGACTCAGGTGCTTCCCGCTGCTTCTTTCGCGACAGCACCACAGTCACACCACTCGCAGCACCGGTTGCAGTCTCTCTGGCTGACCCCTCTGGGGGACCGGTTCGTGCACGTTCCTCCACTGTTCTCCCGTGTCCGGCGGTTTCGTCTGGCTCACCTATCCACTTCGGATGGGGCCCCATCTCAGGAACGCCATCTCAACCCTCCCTCCTCCATCCCGCCCCTCTCCTTCCCCCTTGCTGCACAGCCCCAGCGCAGCACCACCAACTCGTTTTCACAGCCCTCGCAAGCACCCAACCCAACCCAACCCAACCCCGTCTTCCCTTCCTCCAGCTCACAATCTCGCCATATCCCCATCTATCTCATGCTGTTCGTGCAGATCGCGATAAAAAAGCGTCAGTAGCCAGCCAACGTTAGTAGCCAGCCTAACGGCAGTAGCTAGCCATCGCCGTCCCCTACCAACCCTAGTAACAAACCGTTCATTTTGCTGCCATGTTTCCGAGCAACCATGCTTCAAGTATTAGTTACCCTTACTCCATTCAAATTAGTTTCCCGTTTTCTCACACCCTAAACTCTGCACTGCTCAAGCTGCTGGGCGATCGAGGCCATGATACGCGCGATCGACCGCCAACAACGGTGCTGGCGCCGGCAGTCAACGCCATGGCGCTCATGACGGCCCACAGCATGCAGCAGCCCCGCGTTTCGTCAGCCATTTCAGTTGCGTTACATCAGCCCTTTCAGTTGCGATTTCGTCAGCCATTTTAGCTGCACTTCGTCAACCATTTCATCTGCATTTCGTCAGCCATTTCAGTTGCAATTCGTCAGCCCTTTCAGTTGCGATTTCGTCAGCCATTTTAGCTGCACTTCGTCAGCCGTTTCATCTGCATTTCGTCAGCCATTTCAGTTGCAATTCGTCAGCCGTTTCAGTTGCTTTTCGTCAGCCATTTCAGTTGCTTTTCGTCAGCCATTTCAGTTGCATTTCGTCAGCCGTTTCGGTTGCTTTTCGTCAGCCATTTCAGTTGCATGTCGTCACCTTCCAAATCGCCGTTTTTACTGTCCGTTTTTTGCATAACTCATGCGTCAGTATTCTCTGTTGTGCAAGGTTTTCTAATCGCCGCTTCCAGCTCACATTGAGCTGCGCCGCACATGCAGCTCACAACACGAGCCTCGTATGCGCCTTGAAAAGCGCCTAACACTGTGGGTCTCGTGTGGTTTCCCTGCAGGCGACGCGGCAGACGCTCTGGCGCTCAAGGCTGCCATTGACGAGCACGCCCTGCAGCCCTCCGCTCCAAGTCACGCGCGCCGCCACTGTTGGGCGATTGCAAACGAATGAGGAAATTTGCTGCTGGCGGTGCCTTCCGCCTTTGCGCGGTGCAGTCAGCTGTGGGACGGGATCCTCCCTCCTCCCCTCCTCGTCTTATCCCCGTCCCACCCTCCTCTCCTCCTCGCCTTTTCCCCGTCCCACCCTCCTCCCCTCCTCGTCTTATCCCCGTTCCACCCTCCTCTCGTCCTCTTTGCTTGTCTCGTCCTCCTCGCGTCTCCTCGCGACTTCGTCTGTGTTGGTGGGGCACTGGGATCGTCCCGAGTTGAGTGTGGGAGGGCTACAGGCGCGGCCTGGGGGGTTATGGGTGTGCTACCCACCATACAAACATGCCCTTTTAACCCAGTCGGTAGCAGGCTGGGCCAACAGTCTGCGACATGAATCCCGACGCCTAGACAAGTCTCAAAGTCCCAGACGCCCGGCTGGTCCCCTCATCCCTCCCCCTCCTCCCCCCTCCCTCCCCCCCCAATATGCCTGCACCCCCTCCCATCCCCTCCTCACACAAGACATCAGAAGCAGCAAGGGCGTTTGATATATTTACCACGAAGCTTTCTAACCGCTCGCTCGGTAGAGCCACCATGAAGCTTCCGCGCCCCTCTCTCCTCCTGGTCCTCCTCCTCGTCTCCGTCGCGCTGCTTCCGCTCTTCGCCACCTCGCGCACTCTTCCGCCTAGGCAGCAGCCCACCGGGGGCGAGATTCCGCCGGTCATGGGAAAAAACACCACCGCGGCCCCCCGCCACCCGCACCATGGGGGGAACGCGACGGTAGCGGCGGGGAACCGAACGAAGGGCGGGCATCCCAACAAGGGCCACCATCGCGGGAACAGCACTGCGGCGGGGGGACCTTCGCCAAAGCCAGCGAACGGAAACGTGAAGAACGGAAATGCGCCAAGCGGTCATAAGAACGGCGGCGCGCAGCCGAACAAGAATGGCGGCAGCGGCGGCGGCGGCGCACAGACGAACAAGAATGGCGGCGGCGCTGGCGCCAATAAGCCCCGTCGGCCGAAGCAAATTGCCGAGGAGAACTGTAGCAGGTGGGTTGCTTCTCTTTTTTTTCCCAGTAATGCTTACGAAGGGTACCTTTTTTCTAAAACATGAAACTTATCGCATCACGGTCTATTTCCCATCACGGCCTTTACTACAAAACGGCCTATATCGCATCAAACCTACCTCCAATCTCTGTCCCTGTCCCACCCCATGCCTCTTTTCTACCCTGTCCACTATCCCCTCCTCTCCTCTCCCCTGCGATTCCTCCTCTTCTCTCGTCCCACCCCTCTCCCCTCCTCCCCGCACCTCTCCCATTTTCTACTCCTCCTCGCCGTCCTTCTCCCCCTATTTTCCGTCTCCCCTCTCCTCTCCCCTCTCCCCTGATGTACTCTTTCCTGCCGCAAGCCACACATCACATTTTTTCGGACCATTACCTTCAGAACTATCTCCCTTCCCATCTGATTCCAAAGAATTGTCTTCTCGTCTCTTACCGTTCCCTACTCAAAACATATTTTTCACTATCTTCCCGTTTTTTACCCATAACAGCAAGACATCTTGGCCAGAAGTGGTTGGATGACGGGCGAATAGGCTCGCGATTACATCCTGACATCCATGCCAGAGTGTAACTGGGACGTGCGAATTATCGCGAACAGAGGATTCGCCACAATGGATTATCCCACAAACCGCGTTCGAATCTTCGTCGATAAGGGTGGCATCGTTCGCGTTCCTCCGAGAATCGGCTAACTCTCACAGGGTGACTGTATTGTAACGGTCTCAGGGATCTCCCTCCCTGGCCTAGAGGTCAGAGGATATCACACAGTGTAGGCCAGCTCCAATAGCACACTGCCACGTGTTCTGACTCAGTGGTAGTTGTTAGAAACTTAGGCAATCGGGGTTGACTATCGAGAGAATTGGTACAAGAGAGAAACCCTAAGGGGTTATACCCCATAGTATCTACCCCACTACAGCCTACCCAAAAATGTAACATATGCATATGTTTGACACACCCCCATAGGCAAAGTGGGGGAGAGCAAGAGGTCACAAGACCAGTCAAGAAAAGCAAAGCAAGCTCAGGGTGGATCACAACGTCACCACACACACTGAGCACAAGCAAAAGGCCACAAGGCCAGTTCACATGCAGAGGTATATATGCAACAAGAACAGTACAGTGATCTCTACCTAGCAAGAGCAAGCATGCAGGTATATATATATAGATCACAGTACAAGCAGAGTCTACAGCAAGTGCGGAAACGTAGGCACAAGGCCCAACAAGGTACAAAAGCGCTGATGATCACCAGACGGAAGTGCCTTGGCGAATATATCAGCAGTGTTGGCCCGAGTGGCCACGTGAGCAAGACGAAGCCGACCCCGCTGCTGCAACTCTCGAGCCAGGAAGTAACGCAGAGCGATGTGCTTCGTTCTGTGCTCCTGACACAAGGCAATAGCTGCCTTGTTGTCGACGTACAGAACTGGAGGAGAACGAGGCCTCTCTCCCAAGTCGGTCAGCAGGTAGGTGAGCCAGCGTAACTCCTGTGCAGCCATGGCTGTGGCGTAGATCTCAGCCTCACAACTGGAGCTGAGAACAGAAGACGAGCGCGTAGACCGCCAAGAAACAGAGCCAGAGCCAAGACTGAAGGTGTAACCCTTTGACGACCGCTGCGTAGCCTGGTCGTCAACCCAAGAAGCGTCCGAGTGACCAGTGAGGACAACGTCGCCCCGTCCTCCAAGCACGAGCCCCATGCCCGATGTACTGCAAAAGTAGCGTAGTACCCTCTTAGCAGCATCCATGTGCACCTTTCGGTGCCGACCAGGAGCCACGTAGCGAGCCAGAAGGCCAAGAGGGTACGCGAGGTCAGGACGAGTGCAGGTCATCAGGTACATGAGGCAGCCAACTAGCTCTGGATAAGGACCACTCGGCTCTACGGACTCGTCCGAAGGTGGAGCTGAGAGCGAGTGACCTGTAGCCAGAGGAGTGGCCTGTGCCGAGGACCAGGTGAAGCCGAAGCGCTGAAGGACCTGCTGCACCATGTGTGACTTAGTCAGAGTGATGGTGCGGCGTGCTCTGTCCCGGGTGATCTGCAAGCCAAGGTAACTGCGCAGCTCACCCAGGTCTATGCACGTGTGTCTCTTCTGCAGCTCCGACTTCACCAGGGCGAGAGCCTCCGTGTCAGCAGTGGCAAAGACCAAGTCGTCGACGTACACGAGGATGTAGAACGGCGGCAGCGAAGTGTCGGTGCGCAGAAACAGTGATGGGTCAGCAGTCGAAGGAGCAAACCCAAGAGCCGCAAGTGTCGTCCTCAGTGTGTCGTGCCACTCACGTGGCGCCTGGCGGAGACCGTAGACCGGCCGCCGGAGGCTCCACTGGGTACCAGAAGGGAACGACCCAGTGAAGCCAGGTGGGCGGCGCAGCCAGATCTCCTCGTGCAGGCTGCCCTGTAAGAAAGCTGTGCTGAAGTCAAGGGAGTGAAGCTCGTAGTCACGCTGAGCGGCAACGTGCAGCAACACCCGAAGAGTGGTCATCTTCGGGGTGGGGGAGAAAGTCTGGAAGAAGTCAACTCCCTCCCGCTGACTGAAGCCTCGAGCAACGTAACGAGCTTTGAAGATAGGCGGAGAACCTGGCGGCCGCTTCACCCTGAAAATCCACATGCCGTCGACGATGTTCGCCCCAGGAGGGGGAACCTCGTCGACGTAGGTGCCTGTGGACTTCCAGGAAGCCATCTGTGCGTCCATGGCTGTCTGCCACTGAGAAGAGTACTCACCCGCGATCGCCTCAGCGTAAGAGCGCGGGGTCAGGATGTCTGGTGCATCCGGGTCTCCCTCAGGGGCAAGCAGCATGGCCACGAGTTGAGGTGCAGCGGCCGCAAGACACTCAAGGTCCTCCTGTCTGTCCTCAAGGACGTCCGTGCCAAGAGCACACTCACCCCCGACGGACGGAGGACAGACAGACTCAGACTCAGCAACAAGACTAGCAGCGTAGTCTAGACGACAGGCAGCAGCAAAGTCAACCAGCTCAGCGACAAAGGCAGACGCAGCAGCAGACTCAAACGACGGGTCAGTGACAACAGTGGCTAGCAGACGCATGACAGTAGGGTGCTCAGCACGAAACCGGTCAGACTCAGGGTCCGGAACGTGCGGAAGAGAAGACGCAGGAGGAGACGGCAGAGGAACACGCTGCGGAGGAGAGGAAGGACGACGGACTACGAGGTGGGTGTCGGGGACAGCCGACTGACGCGGACGAGGAACACGACGACCAGAACGGACAGGCGAGACAGGATGCGACGCAGGCGCACGACGCTCAGTAAGACCCCCTGTCTGCTCAGTGTAAGGAGAAGGAGCAGGCAGCGATGAGCCAGGCTGTAACGGAAGACCAGTAGACGAAGGGAGACTAAGAACCTGGCGAAGCACAGAGTCAGGCGGTGGCTAAGACCGCGGAGACGGTGGAGCAAAGAACAGGCGCGGCTGTGCAGCGACACCAGCACCAGCAGCTCCAGTACCCCCAGCAGCTCCAGCACCTCCAGCAGCCCCAGAACCCTCAGCGTCAGCTCCTCCAGGACCAGCTCCACCAACAACAGCACCCCCAGAACCGGCACCTCCAGTCCCAGGGTCTCCAGCCTCAGTGTCTCCAGCAGCAGCACCCCCAGACCCAGGGTCTCCAGCAGTAGCACCCTCAGGCTCAGCAGCACCTCCAGCCCCAGCAGCTCCAGTACCTCCAGTACGAGCACCTCCGGGACCAGTACCACTCCCAGCTCCAGTGACGTCAGCAGAAGTACCTCCAGCAGCAGAGCCCCGAGCTCCAGAAGCTCGACCCTGACGGCGACCGTACCAGTCGTGCAGCTGCTGTGAGGTGAGAGGCACACGCGGACGAAGGCGGCTACTCCAAGGAGACCGCGCAGCAGCAGACTCAGAACCCTCAGGTGTCGCACCCCCAGACTCAGTACCACCAGGCTCCTCACGCTCGGGCTCAGCACCTCCAGACACAGCACCCCCAGGCTCAGCACCTCCTGGGTCCTCACACGCAGGCTCCGCACCCCCAGGCTCAGTACCCCCAAGCTCCGCACCCCCAGGCTCAGCACCCCCACGCTCCGCACCCCCAGGCCCAACACCCCCAAAGACAGCACCACCCCCAGCAGGACCTGAGTCACCAGTGACCTCAACAGGCGCAGGCACGGGAGGGTCTACCCGAGAAACACCTGAAGGAGCGGGACCTGGCGCGGGGAGGGGGTCTACCTGGAGAGGACCTGGGGCGAGAAAGAGCGGCGGGGGGGGGGCGAGGGGCAGTGCGGTAGGGAAAGAGACGGTAAAAGGGGACGGACTCGTCAAAGGTGACGTCCTGAGACGGAAAGACACGGCGTGAGGCTGGGTCGTAAAACTGCCAGCCATGCGCGTCAGGGACAAAGCCAAGGAAGACGCAGGGAATGGCGCGAGCGGAGAGCTTGTCCGCGGTGGTATCGCGGACAAAGGCACGAGCACCCCAGACCCGGAAACGCGACGCATCGCCAACCTTCCCCGTCCACAGCAGTGTGGGTGAGGTCTCCGGCAAGGAGACACGGGGCCAGAGGTTGAGCTGATGCGCGGCGTACCGGACCGCAAACGGCCACAGAAAATGGGGGGCAGCCGCATGGATCATGGAGGTACGAGCGACCTCCATGACTAAGCCAATGCGGCGCTCAGCAACCCCATTCTGCTGCGGAGAGGCCGGAAGCGTGAACGTCTGGCGGATGCCATGCTCCGCACAGAAGGCTGCCAAGAGGTCTGAGGGAGCTGGAGACGAACAGCGCGGATCCAGGGGATCAAAACATCAGGGACCTCCCCCTTGCTGCGCAAGGGGAAGACCGTGGTGTAACGCGTGTAGTCGTCGACGACCAGCAGGAAGTACCGCTCGTGGCCCTGTCCACGGACGCGGGCTGGGCCCCACACGTCCAGGTGGAGAGTCTGCAGGCGAGCCTCTGTGGGAGGGAACGAGGAGGAGTGAGGAGCGGCGCGCTGCCGCCCCTCGACGCAAGGAATGCAGGGCGGCGCAGGCGAGGGAGGGAGGGCAGGCAGAGACTCGGGAAGGCCAGAGACCAGGTAGCGAGAGTGCATGCTACGAAGGCGAGGCAGGGAGGGGTGACCAAGGCGGTGGTGCCACAGGAGAGTGTCGTGCGACAGGCGGCGACACTCACACTGGGTAGCTACCTGAGCAGACGTGTACAGCTGGGGGGACAAAGGGGTGTAGCGTGACGCAGTGGTGAGGGTGTACAGACTGGACCCAGGCGCATGTGTGAATGTGGCCAGGTGGCGGCCGGTCCGAGAGCACGTACAGATCGCCACACGCTTCCCTCCAGGAGTAAAGGTGTCAACCCAATGATCCTGAAGGACGGCATTGCTCACCAAGTTCGTAGAGAACGAGGGGAGGTGGAGATCAGACAGCTCACCAGACGGGACCGCCGGACACGGAAGCACAGTGGAAGACCGTGCAAGCACTGGGCCCCGAGAGGGGTCAGCCAGCGAGACAGGAACAGGTGCAGGGAGGGGAGTGACTGTGGTGCTGTCGCGAAAGAAACAGCGGGAAGCACCAGAGTCAAGTGTGAAGGTGTGCAAGGCCTGTGCGGACGCAGTACCAGGGGGAGCAGACTCACAAGCACCTAGTGCCATAGGCGCTATACCTGGGACTATACCTGGGTCAGGCGGCACACACAAGTAGCAGTCACCCTCAGCACTAACAGTCAATGCATACATGGCAGCAAGAATAGCCTCATAGTCAAGATCAAAGATAGGTACATCACGCCTAAGCAGGTCTGCCCAGTTGGGGAACTCAGTAGCATCAGGAAACTTGACGCGCCAGGCGTCGCTAAGCCGAGCAAAACAGCGGTACTCAGTGTGAAACCCTGTGCACTGGCGACCAGTGCGGGGACCTGTGCGAATGATATAGGGGCAGCGACCAGGACCCCCAGACGCCCCACGCCCGGCATACCAGTCAAGAAGCTGCTGGGAAGTGGGGGTCTGGCGCTGACGCTGCTACTGCTGCTGCTGCTGCCCCTGGCCACCACGGGTGTCACCCAAGCCCCCACCACCGCTGCCACCACCACTCCTCCCTCCGCCACCACCGCCGCCGCCACCGCCACCGCTCCCGGCACCACCACCGCCCCCACTACCACCTCCACCCCCACGACCACCCCCACCACCTCCACCTCCCCCGCCGCCTCCACCACCCCCCCCTCCACCGCCACGTCCGCCACCCCTGCCACCCTTGCCTCCCCTGGAGCCGCTGCGCTTCCCACTAGGAGCGGAACCAGCTGCGACCTGCTCAGCACCGAGGAGGTCGACAGCAGCAGCTGCGGAGGCGTAGGAGGAGGTAAGAGGGGAGGGGGAGCACCCCTCAAAGAGGGGAGTGCGGGGAGTACCACGAGCAGCACCTACAGCTAGAATGTTCTTCTCGGCTGCTAGGAGGTGCTTCTCGAGGTCGTCGACAGTGAGAGAATGGGGGTCAAGGGCGAGGAAGTGATCCCTGACTGAGCGAAGAGTGTCAGGGAGGCGGGTGATGAGGAAGTAGAGAGTAAAGTACATCGGGGGGTGGTTCTCTGCGAGGAACTCGGCTGGAAGGGCGGCACGAAGGCGAGTGTCACTAGCGCGTAGGTGAGAGATGAGGTCCTCAGCGGTGGTAAACGAGGACAGGTCGGGGAACAGGTAGGGTAGCATAAGTGGACCGAGGGCTGCAGTGGCCAAGGAAGAGTAGCGGGCAACTACAGCTTCGTACAGTGCCTTGGCAGTCTTGTGCTGGCTAAAATGCGCTCGCTCTGTGATCGGCAGATGGTTGCAAATAGCTAGGCGTGCAGCAGCATCTCGGGTCTGCCACTGGGAGCGGGCTAGAGCAGTCTCAGTGTCAGCAGAAGCAACGGCAATGCCAGACACGTAATCGAACAGGGAAACACCGTCCTTGGCATCAGTCAGGAGGAACAGTTGCAGGTCGTCGAGCCAGGTGGCGAACTCTACGGGACGACCGTCTGGATCAAACTCTAGCACATTAAGCGTCGCCATAGTAGCAGTGCAGGCAAGGCAGCTCAAGGCAGGCAGGCACTCAAGGCAGGCAGGCGCTCTTGTCAGGCAGGCACTCAAGGCAGGCTCTCCAGGCAGGCTAAGACAGGCAGGCGCGCGGCTCACGGGCGGCACACTGGCAGGGCACGCGCGGCTGCGGGCTGCGCGTGGCTGTGGGCTGCGCGTGGCTGTTGGCTACACGTGGTGACGGGCTGCGCGCGGCTGTGGGCTGCGCGCGGCTGCTGTCTGCGCGTGGCGACGGGCTGCGCACGGCTGCGTGCTGCGTGCGGCGGCGGGCTGCGCGGGCGTGGCCTAAGCGGGATGCGCGCGGGCGGCTTAGGCGGCGCGCTGGCCGGCAGCAGGCCGCGCGGGCGGCTAACGCGGCGCGCGGGGCCGAAAACGGGCTGCGCGGGCTGCTTAAGCGGCGCGCGCGGGAAAAAAAAAAGGGCCGCGCGCGTGCAGCCGAGGCGCGCGCGGGCAGTAGGCAAGGCAGGCAGGCAGGTGAGGTAACGCGGTAACCGGTGGGCCCTAATCTTAGGTCCTAAAGACCTACTGCTCTAGATACCATGTTAGAAACTTAGGCAATCGTAGTTGACTATCGAGAGAATTGGTACAAGAGAGAAACCCTAAGGGGTTATACCCCACAGTATCTACCCCACTACAGCCTACCCAGAAATGTAACATATGCATATGTTTGACAGTAGTTAGATTAGAACGCACCATTTGTATAGAGACGCTTATGTACGGTACCGTACCTTTCTTGACCAGGGTTGAACATAGTGACCTAATCAGAGGTCAATTGGTGTACCGTACTAGGCTACTAGCCTAATGTTTAGACTTACAATATATTATTACCCTGATACAAAAAGTTCTGATCTGAATCTCCTGGTCATGACTGGACAGGGTGTCCTGACAATCAGCCTTGTGGAAATCAGAACCTCAACCCAGAACTCTCATGTGGGTTTCAGAGTGAGGCCAGGGACTCTCAGCCCTTTCTACTACAAACCAAGCCCCGACCCCCCACTTCCTCTACCGTGGTCACTCCAGCCCATATCCCGACATTTCCTCCTTTCTAGTACCGGAATCTATCCGTTCCTCGTGCCATCACTTCTCTCCAAGGTCCTGCTAGTCCTCTCCCCAACCTCCCTCCCTCACGTGTTCAATGTCATTTTTACGGTAGAATGTTTGTCCAGATCCATTTACGTTTCAAGGGGATACGGTAGTTGCTAGCTAGCTACCATCAACGGAAGCTCAGGCTTGTGGGAGTTGCAAATGATGGCTTCTGTTCTGAGAAGCATGGCAAATTGAGTGGTAATGTTGGAGAGTACAAGGAGAACAGCTAAAGTTTCAAGCAGGGTTTCAAATCTCATCTTGCGGTGCAAAATGGCAAACTTGATTGTTCTGCATGCCAGCTTCTCTATTGAGTACCGTAGCAGTAGCATCTTCCTGCAAGACAGTTGCACGGGCACACTGATTGCGCGCAACCAATCGATGTCTTAGCTGTTTGCAGATGCCAATTCTCGCCAGCATTGAATGCCGACTTTATGATTTCTTGAAGGCACACGTGCGATTCTTAGTCTTGAGACGTGACTCTGGGATTCTTAGCAGCCACTTGTTGTCTTCAAACCTGTGCGGATCCAAAAGAGAGAAGGGCAGCGGGGGCGAGAGGGAGCAGCGAAAGCAAATGCATTCAGAGGCATGCATGGATTGAATAGATGAAGCCAAACCATATGTATGGTAATTGTTCATGTTCCCCACCCATGTAAGAAACAAATGTCTGACATTGACAGCAGGCACATGAGCCTTGCATCTTGTTTTGTTACTCTACCCTGTGGTGAAGCTAGTCTCCACCCCTCTTCACTCCTCTCAACCACTTAGCACGGGGAAAAACAAAAGATATCGATTCACCTTTACCTCCACTCACCTGTGCTCGCTGCTGTCCTTGCTCTCTCACCTTGCACTCACCTTGCCAATGTTCGTCCCACTCTTCTTGCCGCTGGTCCTGCCGGGGCATGTGAGCTTGTGGGAGGGCCAGTGCGCCTTTTGGCACTCTCTGCTGCAATACGCCACCTTGCCATACCCACCGCAATTCCTCAGCTTCACACCACCCCCCCCTACCCTGTCACATCCCTCAGCACCGCACAGATACCCCTCGTAAGCAGCATGACCAGAAGCTTTTGAAACCGAAGCTTGTGCACTTGCATGGTTTGGCACTGCAGCAAAGGCCTTCACAGGAGGATGGGTGGAAGAGGCAGCAGGGGAGGCAGGGCGGTAGCACGGCTCCCCCAGCAGCATCTCTCGCAGACATGCAAGCAGGATGGTTCCCCCTGGCCATGGCTTCAGATATGCCAGCACCTCCTTCTTCTTGCCCTTCCCCTCTCTGCCGCCACTACTGCTGGCACAGCTATCCCTGTTGTTGCTGCTGCTGCTGCCACCGTCGCCGCCGCCGCCGCCGCTGCTGCCACTGCCACCAACACTACTTGTACCCGACCCATCCTGGCCATCCAGGTCAGCACAGAACCTCGTCTGTGTTGCCGCCCGGAACATGTCAATCATCATCTGCCCATTGACCTCCTCCCTCCGAGGCTCCCTGCTGCCCTTGCAAACCAAGCTGAGCCCTGCAGCGATAGACGCAGGGTCGTACCACTTGCGTCCGTCCCTCACACTCGCAGGCCACGCCATCACCGCTGTGGCGCACCACGACCGCACCTCCTCCCACGCCTTCCAAACATCCTCCTCGTCCTCCTGCTCTCCCTCTTCCTCTTTCCCCACTCCGTTCCTTCCACTCCTTGCCCTGCGCCCTTTCGACTCTCTCTGCTCAGCCTTCCTACCCTCGGCTCCCAGTTGCCCTTGCACCATGGCAATCTCCCTGGCCCATTTCAGAGCGATCACGAGCAGCAGGAGCATGGGCAGCTTTTCCGCATGATCACGAAGCGCAGGCAGGTGCAAACGGATAGGCAGGTTTGAGCAGGCGGGGTTGTACAAGCACAGCGTGTCTGCAAGCTGAGTGAGCTCCAAGGAGGGCGGTGGGAAGACATAGACGAAGCGGTTGAAGAGAACAGACGCGGGGCGGTATGCGAAGTTGGCAATGACAGCAGCAAAGGGAATGATGGATTTGTACCGCGAAAAGCACGATGCGCATTCGGCACACGCGGGCGGAGGAAACAATCTGCTGGCGACGTCCACAATAAAGTCAATATCCGCCCTGCAGCGAACAATCGGAAGTTCCTTTTTGGAAGTCGACATCCCGCCTGCAAGTGTTGGAGCATTGATGTGGATTCTCTGGGTGCGGCCACCCCAGTTGCTCCTCCCCCCCCGTCCGCCTCCCTTATGGCCAGCTGTCCTTCCACCTCACCCCTTCCCACCCTTGCGCTTGCCTCCTCCTCCTCGTCTTGCTGCCTTCACAGATGTTTCCTCACCACCCTCACCTCGCTCCTCTCCATCCTCTCTCACATCGCTCTCCGCACTCGCTTCACTCTCCTCTCTCTCCTCACTCTCCTCCACGATCCCCAGTTCAAAGCATCTTGCATTCGGATCATCAGGAAACTTCATAGCATCTTCATTGCCCTGGGGCCATTCGTCCCACTCACAGAAATGTTTGGCTCCAGCCAGAGGCTTGGGGATGGCACCGAACCTGACCAACAGGCTTGGGAGGTCGTGAAAGGGGTGGCGAATGGGCAGGTTGTGCTCCTGTGGGCTGTCCTTGAAGCATTGCTTCGCTGAGATGGAATCTGAGCCGTAGATGCGCACCCACTGCAAGATGGAGCTGACGCGATACGTGAAGGCTGCAAGAACAGAGTTGGAGTTGACAGGCACACGCACAGCGGTGGAGACTGCACTGGAGGCAGCAGAAGCTTGAACTCCAGCTGAGGGAGCAGCGCCAAGAGAAGAGGCAGCTAGCAGTGGTGGTGCTTCTGCAGCTGCGGCTGCCTCTGCAGGTGCATATCCTGCTGCCACCCCTCCGCCTGCTCCTGCTCCTCCACATCCCCTTCCCCTCTCACTTGTCTCCCTTCTCTGCCTATCCCTTCGCTGCCTCTCTCTTTCCAGCCTCTCCCTGGCCTCTTCAATAGCTGCATCTTCCACCCGTGTCTTGCTCGCGTTGTTTCCATCTAGGATGAAGACTTGCGCATCTGGGCAACTCCCGGCCTTAGATAGCAATGCGGCGACTGTAAAGGCGAAGTCAGTGGCACCCACGCCACTCACATACATGCCCTTGGGAATATCCCTGCCTTCCTTGTTGCCCCGGCAGCCAAGCCCATCAATACTGCCGCTGCCACCACCGCTGCCACCACCGCTGCCACCACCGCTGCCGCCGCCCATCTGGCAGTGGGTGCACCCGAACTGCCTCCATTCCGCTCCTCCACGCTCCAAAATCCAAGCCATCCCATCCACATACCTGTCCCACACACGCCCCTTCAAATGCTTCTTCCAATCCCCATCCTTCCCATCCCTGCCACCTTTCTTCTCCCCTGCAGTACCCTTTCCGCCATCACCTGCTCCCCTCTTCTCAATATCCCTATTTTGCGTCTTCTGAGAAGTATTTCCCTCAGCTCCCTCCTTTCTCTTCGCATGCGCCTTCTCCAGCCCGCCTGACAGCACATGCTGCACAAAGAACCCAAACCCTTCCTTCAGATCAGCACTCTCCTTCAACCCCAGCACCTGCACCAGCATGGAAGCCAAGCAGTCCGGCTGTTCTTGACGAATGACACCCAGTACGATTGCCATGCGAGGATAGGTTGTATCAGAGAGCTCCTTCTGAGCCTTCCATAGAGTCACAATGCGTGGGGAGCTCGCTACAAGCACAAGGAAGGCAGCAAAGCTGACCGCACGGCGGTATCTGGCCCAGCATCTGCTGCAGCACCAGCAGCAGGACCACACTGCAGAAGCAACTGCAGGTTCAGCTGGAGAAAGAGAAGGAGGACTGGAAGCAGCAGGAGCAGAGGCAGGTGCATCACAATCGCGAGTCAAAGGAATGGCAGGGAGGTAGGATCTCAACCTCCCCAGGTCCATGAGCACGCCCACACGAGGCTCAGCCATCCACTCGAGAATCATCGCTTCTGCACATTGGTAAGGCGCGGATGCTGCCTTCCTCTTCAGCTCCTCCACCGCTGCCATCCCCTGCAGGCGTTCAGACTCCCGCACTGGATACCTCATCTCCCACTCGAGCTCGGACCAGGATGCGCGCGGATGTGGATCAGCAGGGATGTAATCAGAAAGGGGGTTCTTCATTTCACGGCGAAAGCTGTTAAGGTCAGCCATTTCCAGAGCGCACTGTGCGCGGCTGCTCACTGCCCGGTCAAAGCAGCACTCGCATGCCTTGAGATTCCACCCACCTCTCACGTCCAAGTAATGAACCATGTCCGCTCGCGACAGCAGCCGAAGCGTCTCTCGTGCTCCATAATCGTCCGTTCCCTCTGCTCCCTCCACTAATGTTTGCTCCTCTTCCTGAACCGGTCCTTCGCAATCGCTTGGGACTTGGAGCTTCTCTAGTCTCTCCATCAAACGAGACTCCTCCCTAGGTGCTGTCTCCAGAGCCACTCTCTCGACATCAACCCTGGTCGTTTCAGTCGTACAACCCATTTGGATAAAAGATGCCAATGAAGCGAGAGAAGGTTCAGAATCCACAGAGGCGATAGGAGCGACAGTTAGCACTGAAGCCTGAAGCTTTCCTAACCCCCTACCGCCTTCTTCTCTTTCCATCTGCCCGTTCTCCTCCTCTTTCCCGCTGCTAGAAACGTTGCGATTCCGTTTGCTGCAGTCAATAGAGCTGGTGACAGCAGCAGCAAGAGGAGCAGCCGCATCAGGAAGCGCAGCAGCAGCAGGTGCTACAGCTGGAGCAGGAGAAACGGGAGGAAGAACAGTAGCAGCAGGAACCACAAAAGCAGCGGGCGAAGCGGTGGTAACAACACAAGGTGGAGCAGCAGTGACAGCAGGAAGTGCGTTGACAGCAGGTGCAGCTGCAGGAATGATCACATCCTGTTCAGCTTTAGCCTTGCCCTTATCCAGTCCGTCTATATACCCAGTTTTCGCCGGAAGCACCTTGATGATTGAAGTCGATTTGAGCTTCGCTTGTTCTACGGTTAAATCAGGCGAGAGGTATGCAACCTGGCCAAGAACCATGAAATGGACCTGCTGGGTCCGAGCCGCTGATAGATTTTCCTCCCGCGCTCTCTCACCGTCTAATGAACGTTCTTGTGCTTCGCATGGTAAGCAGTTAGGCAGGTGGGACTGAAACAGTCTGTTGAAGACTAATCGAAGCAGCTCATTTGGAGAGGCATGTATGTGAACGTCCACGTAGGACGAATGAGATGGCTTACTCTCAGGACAGCTGTCGTTACGCATGCTACTGACGACGCCATTGCTAGAGCATTCCGCTCCGTCTTTGCTGCTATGATCGTCGGATTCACGTCGAATCAGATCAGGTGGGACCCTAAACCTAACAATGAAAGACATTTCGTCAGAACTATGTATTCAGTGCTAGCTACCGCAAAAGAGGACAACGAAGTTACTTAGTGTTGGTTGTTAGAACGATAAGCCGAAGCATTTCCAGATGAGAGGAACCGAATGCAGGTAAGGAGGTGTTGCTATGGAAGGATATGGATGTCAGGATGAGTGGCAGGAGCGAGTGAGAAAGCAGAAGGGGAATGTCATTCCAGCCGCTGCTGGTTTTGTTTGTTCATGAATGAGGGGTTCGGCAACAAGGAGCTCTGCTTGGTTTCTTGGGTTCGGGTGGTCTGGTTTGGTATGGCTTGCTTTGGTTTGGCTTCGAAGAGCCGTTGGGGAAAGGTTGGGTTGATTTTGGCGCGAAATCCAGGTTTTGACAGAAGTGGCTCGACATTCTCAGGGGCTTGGTGGAAGCTGGTTGGTTGCCGAACTCCAGCCGATACAAACAAACCTGTACCGAGCCTGTGCTTGATGCGCCTGCCGAACAGGGTGGGTGAGTCGTTCCTTCGACGAAAGGATTCTTGTTGCTTGACCTTTTGGCCTGTGTCCTCCACAAATAATTTCGCCCACTGCTGGTTGCACTGCAATAGACATAGCTTCATTCAAATGCTCAAGCAGCCCGTGATGCAGTGACTTCTCTGCATCAATGGAGCGTCGCTGTCATGTAAACTCACAGCTTTTTCGGATTCAATATGTTTCCCTTACCACGCTCTTATAATGCTACTGATTAGGAACAATTGCTGAGCCTAGCCAAACCTTTGCAAACGTTTTAAAAGTTACAACAATACCCTGTTACGAAAACCTATTACGGTTGCATCAGTTTTCAAGCCAATACTTATGACCACCCCTTACACAGCTGTATCCTCGCGTTAGCGCGTGTACAGATTGGCGGAGAAGTCTCAGATACCGCATTGTCGTCATGCATTCGTGACGTAACCAGAAATGTGATATCTCTGGAATTGAGTAGGAATTTCTAAACCATAGGCACTTACTCGAGTATTGCTTGGTCTGTCGCACGTGCCGTTCGAGGATAGATTCAGAATCCCAGCTGATGTTTTGAGGCGCTCAAGATAAGGAAATCCTAATCGATAGGCGCTTCTTTAAGTTTTGAGTGCTTTTGTCCAACATGGCATTTAAGGTCAGATTTAGAATCCCAGCTGATTTGATTCGACACGGATCAGAGGACAATAGAAATGACGACAGTAGCACAGAGGGTTGCACCATCCGTAATAGTGACGTCAGCGGTCATAGTGACGTCATCAGAGCAAGCCACTACAGCTCCTCTGAAAACGCATCAGCCGCATCATCCCACACTGTCGTCTCCCTTACGGTTTTCCCTAAGGAACTTCTTGGGTCAGTCTTCAATAGACTATTTCAGACTCATCTTCCACACTGCTGCTTACCATGTGAGACACGTCATCAGCAGCTGGGAGTACCGGGAACAGATCATGTCGTTCGACCGCAGCAGCAGCAGCAGCAGCAGCACGTCCGCTTCATGATTTTTGGGCAGGTATCGTACCTTTCTCCTGAGGCAACAGTACATCGAGCCAAGCTTAAAACCGGTACAACCATCTTAGTGCTTCCGGTGAATGCAGTGGATCATGGAGAAGGCCCGGGTTGTAACGCACCACCTAACGCACCACCTAACTTCTTCCTAGTCTAGGTCGAGAAATGTCTCGACAGAAATCGGACTACGGGAGTTGAAGGTTGAGTTGGGAGAGAAAGGTTGGCTTGGTATTCCAAACCTCAACTTTGAGGCTTGGGACTTTCCAACCCAACAGAAGTGAGGATTGGGAAGTTTTCCAACCCAACCAAAGGAATGTGCAAGGTTGGATTTCCAACCAATGGGAAGTTGACAGTTGTTGTTACAATCCACACAAAGTTTAAAACAACCATACATTGTGCTAAGTTGGGTTTTCCCCAACCAAACTAAAGTGCCACATAGGCTCCAAGCCTATTAGCTACCCAACCATGGAAGCCATGGTTGGGAAGAGCCCCAAGGGGTATTGGGGAAGGGGTTGGAGCTCTCAAGCTCATTCCCACCTCCCAACTCCAACAATCTAACTTGGAAATGGGATTTTCACTCTAAGTCTTTTGGTTCTCCTAACAAGCTCTCCTACACAACTAGACTTGTGATTCTTCAAGGACAAGCTCTACAAGAAGCTACCTACCTACTTGCTAAAGCTCCATCAACCTACTTCAAGCTCTCTTGCTCATCTCAAGCTTCAAGGATATTATCAAGGCTAGATTACCCCTTGGTGGGGTTAGTTAAGCTTGGAAGCCTTGTATCTTGATTCTATATAAGTTGTCAAGGAGGATTTATATTTAACACACAGTTGCCCGTTGTTATAAGGGCCGTGGTTGTTACATTGGTATCTAGAGCTAGGGTTATCCTAAGCCTAGTGGGGATTTTGCCCCTAGAGATTTTGTTTTTATAGATCTTGGAGTTGTGGTTTCTCTTTCATAGAACACTCAAGATCTGGAAGCTTGAAGAGTTCAAGATCTACAAGATCTACAACTTCAACTTCAAGCTAAGAAGAGAGATTTATCTCTCTTGCCCACCTTTTGGTGGAAGACTCTCTACTGTTGAGTAGTGGAGTATAAACTAAGATCTGGAGGATTTGTTGAGGGTTATTCAAGTTCTCTTTATTGAGACTTGGATAGACTCTGCCCTTTCACTAGGTGATTGGGAGTGTTAGCAACAAATCTGTTACATTTGGTAACTTTGAGTTATTCTGTAGAAGAAATTTCTTTTATAAGAATTTCTTGCTTTACCATTGAGGTGGTAAAAAGACTTTAACAGAATCAACCCAGATCTCTAAAGCTCCCTTAATCCTTATGGCATCTGGCCAAGAGAAGGACATGGCAAGGGAGGAAGGGCCCACTGCACCTAATGAGGTGGTGAACAATGCTGCTGATATTGACCTCAATCAAGATGAGGCAATGGCTGACATTGAGCTGGATGACATTGAGAACCTGGACTTGGAGGATGAGGATAACTATGTTGAAGCTGTTGACCATGGTGAAGCTGATAACCATGGTGAAGCTGATAACAATGGGGAGGAGGACAACACCGGTGACAAGGAGAACACTGGTGATGACAATTACTTCACTGAGGGTGAAGGCATGAGTTATCCTGTCTCCGAGGAGATTGTCCAACTCCAGGCTAAAGTGTCAACTCAGAATATCACCATCCTGCAGCAGCAGAAGTCCATTGATGGACTCACAAAGCTGGCTAACAAGCTTAAGGCTGAGTTGGGCGTTGTCACGAAGGAGGCTTGCCAATTCCGTCGCAGCCTGGGCACTAAGAAGCGCCAAATTGAGGAGCTTCAGGATAATTGCAACAATATGCAAGCGTCAATCAACAAGCTTTATGAGCATTTGAGGGAGATTAGGAGGGAGGGCATTTACCAGCCTCCTCCTGGGCGTAGGCCCGCTCCTGCTGCTCAGACGACACCCGCTCCGCCCGCACCTCCGGCGGTAGGCGCTGCGACGGCTATGCACCAGCCACCTCCAACTGAGAACTCACCCTTTGGGTCTCTCTCGGCGCCTCTGCCTGACTTTATCCATGGCAAGACGGAGGTGGAGCCTTGGCTTGACCTGGTGGATACCACCATGACCCTTGCGAATGTGCGCCCCGAGGCTCGCGTCCCCGCAGCTACTCGTGCATTGGATGAGGTGGCACGCAGGGCGGTGTACGGCGCTAAGAAGCAGGCGCAGGGACCGTTTGCATGGCCGGAGTTCTGCACCGCGCTGAGAGAGGCGTTCATGGTCAAGAAGTCCGACCTGGAACTTCGCGGACGCCTCGAGAGTATTAAGTGTCGTGACCGTTCGGTGCAGGACTATGCGGTCGAGTTCGAAGCCGCAGCACGCTTGCTCCAGAAACCCTTGTCCGATGAGGAGATGATGCACATCTTCATGAAAGGCCTTCCTGTCAAGCTGCAGCAGGCACACGTGACAGGTGGCATGACCAATTGTGACAAGAGAAACACACAGTGATCTTCCAGAAAAGGACTCAGATTGAAACTTATGGCACGCTGAAATATCAGTGCGCCTTGCCCAAAATTGTGCCTCAATCAGTGCAAGGGATCTCTCCCAGACGGCAGTCACCTTGCACCTGCACATGGTGGGAGTCATGCAGAGAAATTGAGGGTGTAAATGATCGATGGCGCTGGTGGCACTGGTGGAAGGGCGGAGCTGGTGGGATGAACAGCAATCAATTCGCAAGAGGGGGCTATATAACAGCTCGCATTCAAAAAGCAAGCAACCTGCAGAATATCGCTAAAAAAACCAGTGTGTTGGTTCAAATGGCCACCTTCATTCATACCAGGCCTCATACTACCCAGACTTTCCTTACGATTCTCTAGCTTTCATCTCCCCAGACTTGTCCGTACTGTTCGCCAACATCCAGGTCTCCGAGGTGATTTACCCGCTTCAAGTAGCAACTACCAAGTGCTTATCTGAGTGCTTTCTCGTTGCCTGTGATCTGCACATCATGCCATGTCCATTCCGCCCACTTGAACACTGCAGGAGAGGTGATTGAGAAGCAGCATTGGGCAACCAATGTCATGTCATCCACATCATGGGTCATGCCTCACGCCTCACGCATCATGCCTCATGCCCATGGCTCACTCCTCATGCCCATGCCTCATAGCTCATGCCCATGCCTCATAGCTCATGGACCATGATGCCCAACCATGCAAATGCGTTTGAACAAAGAGAGACGGCAATTGGGAAGTGGGCAGGCAGATGGCGTTAGGCTTGGGATGGTGTGTGTACGAATCATGTACAAGGCAATGCTATGCTTCGTCCTACCCTTACTCAAACGATATGGCTGACTGCCTGCACTAGAGCGATATGGCTGACTGCCTGCACTAGAGCGATATGGCATACCAGATGGGTGCTTAGAGGGATTGAGGATAGCGTGGGAGGAGTAGGGAGAGCAGCATTAGGGGACACGGTGATCTGCTAGTGATGCCACCAGCCCAGCCCAGCCTCTCAATCGCTCAGAACGCACCTCCTCCTCCCTCACTCACCTCCACCATGTCAGCAGGTTCTAGCGTTCTGCTGTGGTGTGACCAGTGCGCCAGAGCAGCGCCGTAGAGGTGGGAGTTGGTGAGGTGGGAGTTGGTGAGGTGGGAGTTGGTGAGGTGGGAGTTGGTGAGGTGGGAGTTGGTAAGGTGGGAGTTGGTAAGGTGGGAGTTGGTGAGATGGGAGCTGGTAAGGTGGGAGTTGGTAAGGTGGGAATTGGTAAGGTGGGAGTTGGTAAGGTGGGAGTTGGTAAGGTGGGAGTTGGTAAGGTGGGAGTTGGTAAGGTGGGAGTTGGTAAGGTGGGAGTTGGTGAGGTGGGAGTTGGTGAGGTGGGAGTTGGTGAGGTGGGAGTTGGTGAGGTGGGAGTTGGTGAGGTGGGAGTTGGTAAGGTGGGAGGGAGTTGGTAAGGTGGGAGTTGGTAAGTGAGAGTTGGTAAGGTGGGAGTTGGTAAGGTGGGAGTTGGTAAGGTGGGAGTTGGTAAGGTGGGAGTTGGTGAGGTGGGAGTTGGTGAGGTGGGAGTTGGTGAGGTGGGAGTTGGTAAGGTGGGAGTTGGTAAGATGGGAGTTGGTAAGGTGAGAGTTGGTAAGGTGGGAGTTGGTAAGGTGGGAGTTGGTGAGGTGGGAGTTGGTAAGGTGGGAGTTGGTGAGGTGGGAGTTGGTGAGGTGGGAGTTGGTGAGGTGGGAGTTGGTAAGGTGGGAGTTGGTAAGGTGGGAGTTGGTAAGGTGGGAGTTGGTAAGGTGGGAGTTGGTAAGGTGGGAGTTGGTGAGGTGGGAGTTGGTAAGGTGGGAGTTGGTAAGGTGGGAGTTGGTGAGATGGGAGCTGGTAAGGTGGGAGTTGGTAAGGTGGGAATTGGTAAGGTGGGAGTTGGTTAGGTGGGAGTTGGTAAAGTGGGAGTTGGTAAGGTGGGAGTTGGTAAGGTGGGAGTTGGTAAGGTGGGAGTTGGTAAGGTGGGAGTTGGTAAGGTGGGAGTTGGTGAGGTGGGAGTTGGTGAGGTGGGAGTTGGTGAGGTGGGAGTTGGTGAGGTGGGAGTTGGTAAGGTGGGAGTTGGTAAGGTGGGAGTTGGTAAGGTGAGAGTTGGTAAGGTGGGAGTTGGTAAGGTGGGAGTTGGTGAGGTGGGAGTTGGTAAGGTGGGAGTTGGTAAGGTGGGAGTTGGTAAGGTGGGAGTTGGTGAGGTGGGAGTTGGTGAGGTGGGAGTTGGTGAGGTGGGAGTTGGTGAGGTGGGAGTTGGTAAGGTGGGAGTTGGTAAGGTGGGAGTTGGTAAGGTGAGAGTTGGTAAGGTGGGAGTTGGTAAGGTGGGAGTTGGTGAGGTGGGAGTTGGTAAGGTGGGAGTTGGTGAGGTGGGAGTTGGTGAGGTGGGAGTTGGTGAGGTGGGAGTTGGTAAGGTGGGAGTTGGTAAGGTGGGAGTTGGTGAGGTGGGAGTTGGTGAGGTGGGAGTTGGTGAGGTGGGAGTTGGTGAGGTGGGAGTTGGTAAGGTGGGAGTTGGTAAGGTGGGAGTTGGTAAGGTGAGAGTTGGTAAGGTGGGAGTTGGTAAGGTGGGAGTTGGTGAGGTGGGAGTTGGTAAGGTGGGAGTTGGTGAGGTGGGAGTTGGTGAGGTGGGAGTTGGTGAGGTGGGAGATGGTAAGGTGGGAGTTGGTAAGGTGGGAGTTGGTAAGGTGGGAGTTGGTAAGGTGGGAGTTGGTAAGGTGGGAGTTGGTGAGGTGGGAGTTGGTAAGGTGGGAGTTGGTGAGGTGGGAGTTGGTGAGGTGGGAGTTGGTGAGGTGGGAGTTGGTAAGGTGGGAGTTGGTAAGGTGGGAGTTGGTAAGGTGAGAGTTGGTAAGGTGGGAGTTGGTAAGGTGGGAGTTGGTAAGGTGGGAGTTGGTAAGGTGGGAGTTGGTGAGGTGGGAGTTGGTGAGGTGGGAGTTGGTGAGGTGGGAGTTGGTGAGGTGGGAGTTGGTAAGGTGGGAGTTGGTAAGATGGGAGTTGGTAAGGTGAGAGTTGGTAAGGTGGGAGTTGGTAAGGTGGGAGTTGGTGAGGTGGGAGTTGGTAAGGTGGGAGTTGGTGAGGTAGGAGTTGGTGAGGTGGGAGTTGGTGAGGTGGGAGTTGGTAAGGTGGGAGTTGGTAAGGTGGGAGTTGGTAAGGTGGGAGTTGGTAAGGTGGGAGTTGGTAAGGTGGGAGTTGGTGAGGTGGGAGTTGGTAAGGTGGGAGTTGGTAAGGTGGGAGTTGGTGAGATGGGAGCTGGTAAGGTAGGAGTTGGTAAGGTGGGAATTGGTAAGGTGGGAGTTGGTTAGGTGGGAGTTGGTAAAGTGGGAGTTGGTAAGGTGGGAGTTGGTAAGGTGGGAGTTGGTAAGGTGGGAGTTGGTAAGGTGGGAGTTGGTAAGGTGGGAGTTGGTGAGGTGGGAGTTGGTGAGGTGGGAGTTGGTGAGGTGGGAGTTGGTGAGGTGGGAGTTGGTAAGGTGGGAGTTGGTAAGGTGGGAGTTGGTAAGGTGAGAGTTTGTAAGGTGGGAGTTGGTAAGGTGGGAGTTGGTGAGGTGGGAGTTGGTAAGGTGGGAGTTGGTAAGGTGGGAGTTGGTGAGGTGGGAGTTGGTGAGGTGGGAGTTGGTGAGGTGGGAGTTGGTGAGGTGGGAGTTGGTAAGGTGGGAGTTGGTAAGGTGGGAGTTGGTAAGGTGAGAGTTGGTAAGGTGGGAGTTGGTAAGGTGGGAGTTGGTGAGGTGGGAGTTGGTAAGGTGGGAGTTGGTGAGGTGGGAGTTGGTGAGGTGGGAGTTGGTGAGGTGGGAGTTGGTGAGGTGGGAGTTGGTAAGGTGGGAGTTGGTAAGGTGGGAGTTGGTAAGGTGGGAGTTGGTAAGGTGGGAGTTGGTGAGGTGGGAGTTGGTGAGGTGGGAGTTGGTAAGGTGGGAGTTGGTGAGATGGGAGCTGGTAAGGTGGGAGTTGGTAAGGTGGGAATTGGTAAGGTGGGAGTTGGTAAGGTGGGAGTTGGTAAGGTGGGAGTTGGTAAGGTGGGAGTTGGTAAGGTGGGAGTTGGTAAGGTGGGAGTTGGTGAGGTGGGAGTTGGTGAGGTGGGAGTTGGTGAGGTGGGAGCTGGTAAGGTGGGAGTTGGTAAGGTGAGAGTTGGTAAGGTGGGAGTTGGTAAGGTGGGAGTTGGTGAGGTGGGAGTTGGTAAGGTGGGAGTTGGTGAGGTGGGAGTTGGTGAGGTGGGAGTTGGTGAGGTGGGAGTTGGTAAGGTGGGAGTTGGTAAGATGGGAGTTGGTAAGGTGAGAGTTGGTAAGGTGGGAGTTGGTAAGGTGGGAGTTGGTGAGGTGGGAGTTGGTAAGGTGGGAGTTGGTGAGGTAGGAGTTGGTGAGGTGGGAGTTGGTGAGGTGGGAGTTGGTAAGGTGGGAGTTGGTAAGGTGGGAGTTGGTAAGGTGGGAGTTGGTAAGGTGGGAGTTGGTAAGGTGGGAGTTGGTAAGGTGGGAGTTGGTAAGGTGGGAGTTGGTAAGGTGGGAGTTGGTAAGGTGGGAGTTGGTGAGGTGGGAGTTGGTGAGGTGGGAGTTGGTGAGGTGGGAGTTGGTAAGGTGGGATTTGGTAAGGTGAGAGTTGGTAAGGTGGGAGTTGGTAAGGTGGGAGTTGGTGAGGTGGGAGTTGGTAAGGTGGGAGTTGGTGAGGTGGGAGTTGGTGAGGTGGGAGTTGGTGAGGTGGGAGTTGGTAAGGTGGGAGTTGGTAAGATGGGAGTTGGTAAGGTGAGAGTTGGTAAGGTGGGAGTTGGTAAGGTGGGAGTTGGTGAGGTGGGAGTTGGTAAGGTGGGAGTTGGTGAGGTAGGAGTTGGTGAGGTGGGAGTTGGTGAGGTGGGAGTTGGTAAGGTGGGAGTTGGTAAGGTGGGAGTTGGTAAGGTGGGAGTTGGTAAGGTGGGAGTTGGTAAGGTGGGAGTTGGTGAGGTGGGAGTTGGTAAGGTGGGAGTTGGTAAGGTGGGAGTTGGTGAGATGGGAGCTGGTAAGGTGGGAGTTGGTAAGGTGGGAATTGGTAAGGTGGGAGTTGGTTAGGTGGGAGTTGGTAAAGTGGGAGTTGGTAAGGTGGGAGTTGGTAAGGTGGGAGTTGGTAAGGTGGGAGTTGGTAAGGTGGGAGTTGGTAAGGTGGGAGTTGGTGAGGTGGGAGTTGGTGAGGTGGGAGTTGGTGAGGTGGGAGTTGGTGAGGTGGGAGTTGGTAAGGTGGGAGTTGGTAAGGTGGGAGTTGGTAAGGTGAGAGTTTGTAAGGTGGGAGTTGGTAAGGTGGGAGTTGGTGAGGTGGGAGTTGGTAAGGTGGGAGTTGGTAAGGTGGGAGTTGGTAAGGTGGGAGTTGGTGAGGTGGGAGTTGGTGAGGTGGGGGTTGGTGAGGTGGGAGTTGGTGAGGTGGGAGTTGGTAAGGTGGGAGTTGGTAAGGTGGGAGTTGGTAAGGTGAGAGTTGGTAAGGTGGGAGTTGGTAAGGTGGGAGTTGGTGAGGTGGGAGTTGGTAAGGTGGGAGTTGGTGAGGTGGGAGTTGGTGAGGTGGGAGTTAGTGAGGTGGGAGTTGGTAAGGTGGGAGTTGGTAAGGTGGGAGTTGGTAAGGTGGGAGTTGGTGAGGTGGGAGTTGGTAAGGTGGGAGTTGGTAAGGTGGGAGTTGGTGAGATGGGAGCTGGTAAGGTGGGAGTTGGTAAGGTGGGAATTGGTAAGGTGGGAGTTGGTAAGGTGGGAGTTGGTAAGGTGGGAGTTGGTAAGGTGGGAGTTGGTAAGGTGGGAGTTGGTAAGGTGGGAGTTGGTAAGGTGGGAGTTGGTAAGGTGGGAGTTGGTGAGGTGGGAGTTGGTGAGGTGGGAGTTGGTGAGGTGGGAGTTGGTAAGGTGGGAGTTGGTAAGGTGAGAGTTGGTAAGGTGGGAGTTGGTAAGGTGGGAGTTGGTGAGGTGGGAGTTGGTAAGGTGGGAGTTGGTAAGGTGGGAGTTGGTAAGGTGGGAGTTGGTGAGATGGGAGCTGGTCAGGTGGGAGTTGGTAAGGTGGGAGTTGGTAAGGTGGGAATTGGTAAGGTGGGAGTTGGTAAGGTGGGAGTTGGTAAGGTGGGAGTTGGTAAGGTGGGAGTTGGTAAGGTGGGAGTTGGGGAGGTGGGAGTTGGTGAGGTGGGAGTTGGTGAGGTGGGAGTTGGTGAGGTGGGAGTTGGTAAGGTGGGAGCTGGTAAGGTGGGAATCGGTAAGGTGGGAGTTGGTAAGGTGGGAGTTGGTAAGGTGGGAGTTGGTAAGGTGGGAGTTGGTATGGTGGGAGTTGGTGAGGTGGGAGTTGGTGAGGTGGGAGTTGGTGAGGTTGGGAGTCGGTAAGGTGGGAGTTGGTAAGGTGGGAGTTGGTAAGGTGGGAGTTGGTAAGGTGGGAGTTGGTAAGGTGGGAGTTGGTGAGGTGGGAGTTGGTAAGGTGGGAGTTGGTAAGGTGGGAGTTGGTGAGATGGGAGCTGGTAAGGTGGGAGTTGGTAAGGTGGGAATTGGAAAGGTGGGAGTTGGTAAGGTGGGAGTTGGTAAGGTGGGAGTTGGTAAGGTGGGAGTTGGTAAGGTGGGAGTTGGTAAGGTGGGAGTTGGTGAGGTGGGAGTTGGTGAGGTGGGAGTTGGTGAGGTGGGAGTTGGTGAGGTGGGAGTTGGTGAGGTGGGAGTTGGTAAGGTGGGAGTTGGTAAGGTGGGAGTTGGTGAGGTGGGAGTTGGTGAGGTGGGAGTTGGTGAGGTGGGAGTTGGTGAGGTGGGAGTTGGTAAGGTGGGAGTTGTTAAGGTGGGAGTTGGTAAGGTGAGAGTTGGTAAGGTGGGAGTTGGTAAGGTGGGAGTTGGTGAGGTGGGAGTTGGTAAGGTGGGAGTTGGTGAGGTGGGAGTTGGTGAGGTGGGAGTTGGTGAGGTGGGAGATGGTAAGGTGGGAGTTGGTAAGGTGGGAGTTGGTAAGGTGGGAGTTGGTAAGGTGGGAGTTGGTAAGGTGGGAGTTGGTGAGGTGGGAGTTGGTAAGGTGGGAGTTGGTAAGGTGGGAGTTGGTGAGATGGGAGCTGGTAAGGTGGGAGTTGGTAAGGTGGGAGCTGGTAAGGTGGGAGTTGGTAAGGTGGGAATTGGTAAGGTGGGAGTTGGTAAGGTGGGAGTTGGTGAGGTGGGAGTTGGTAAGGTGGGAGTTGGTAAGGTGGGAGTTGGTGAGGTGGGAGTTGGTGAGGTGGGAGTTGGTGAGGTAGGAGTTGGTGAGGTGGGAGTTGGGGAGGTGGGAGTTGGTGAGGTGGGGGTTGGTAAGGTGGGAGTTGGTGAGGTGGGAGTTGGTAAGGTGGGAGTTGGTAAGGTGGGAGTTGGTAAGGTGGGAGTTGGTAAGGTGGGAGTTGGTAAGGTGGGAGTTGGTAAGGTGGGATTTGGTGAGGTGAGAGTTGGTGAGGTGGGAGTTGGTAAGGTGGGAGTTGGTAAGGTGGGAGTTGGTGAGGTGGGAGTTGGTGAGGTGGGAGTTGATAAGGTGGGAGTTGGTAAGGTGGGAGTTGGAGAGGTGGGAGTTGGTGAGGTGGGAGTTGGTAAGTTGGGAGTTGGTAAGGTGGGAGTTGGTAAGGTGGGAGTTGGTGAGGTGGGAGTTGGTGAGGTGGGAGTTGGTGAGGTGGGAGTTGGTGAGGTGGGAGTTGGTAAGGTGGGAGTTGGAAAGGTGGGAGTTGGTGAGGTGGGAGTTGGTAAGGTGGGAGTTGGTGAGGTGGGAGTTGGTGAGGTGGGAGTTGGTGAGGTGGGAGTTGGTGAGGTGGGAGTTGGTAAGGTGGGAGTTGGTAAGGTGGGAGTTGGTAAGGTGAGAGTTGGTAAGGTGGGAGTTGGTAAGGTGGGAGTTGGTAAGGTGGGAGTTGGTGAGATGGGAGCTGGTCAGGTGGGAGTTGGTAAGGTGGGAGTTGGTAAGGTGGGAGTTGGGGAGGTGGGAGTTGGGGAGGTGGGAGTTGGGGAGGTGGGAGTTGGTAAGGTGGGAGTTGGTAAGGTGGGAGTTGGTAAGGTGGGAGTTGGTGAGGTGGGAGTTGGTGAGGTGGGAGTTGGTGAGGTGGGAGTTGGTGAGGTGGGAGTTGGTAAGGTGGGAGTTGGTAAGGTGGGAGTTGGTAAGGTGAGAGTTGGTAAGGTGGGAGTTGGTAAGGTGGGAGTTGGTGAGGTGGGAGTTGGTAAGGTGGGAGTTGGTGAGGTTGGAGTTGGTGAGGTGGGAGTTGGTGAGGTGGGAGTTGGTAAGGTGGGAGTTGGTAAGGTGGGAGTTGGTAAGGTGGGAGTTGGTAAGGTGGGAGTTGGTGAGGTGGGAGTTGGTGAGGTGGGAGTTGGTAAGGTGGGAGTTGGTAAGGTGGGAGTTGGTGAGATGGGAGCTGGTAAGGTGGGAGTTGGTAAGGTGGGAATTGGTAAGGTGGGAGTTGGTAAGGTGGGAGTTGGTGAGGTGGGAGTTGGTAAGGTGGGAGTTGGTAAGGTGGGAGTTGGTGAGGTGGGAGTTGGTGAGGTGGGAGTTGGTGAGGTGTGAGTTGGTGAGGTGGGAGTTGGTAAGGTGGGAGTTGGTAAGGTGGGAGTTGGTAAGGTGAGAGTTGGTAAGGTGGGAGTTGGTAAGGTGGGAGTTGGTGAGGTGGGAGTTGGTAAGGTGGGAGTTGGTAAGGTGGGAGTTGGTAAGATGGGAGTTGGTCAGGTGGGAGTTGGTGAGATGGGAGCTGGTAAGGTGGGAGTTGGTAAGGTGGGAATTGGTAAGCTGGGAGTTGGTAAGGTGGGAGTTGGTAAGGTGGGAGTTGGTAAGGTGGGAGTTGGTGAGGTGGGAGTTGGTAAGGTGGGAGTTGGTAAGGTGGGAGTTGGTGAGGTGGGAGTTGGTAAGGTGGGAGTTGGTAAGGTGGGAGTTGGTGAGGTGGGAGTTAGTGAGGTGGGAGTTGGTGAGGTGGGAGTTGGTGAGGTGGGAGTTGGTAAGGTGGGAGTTGGTAAGGTGGGAGTTGGTAAGGTGAGAGTTGGTAAGGTGGGAGTTGGTAAGGTGGGAGTTGGTGAGGTGGGAGTTGGTAAGGTGGGAGTTGGTAAGGTGGGAGTTGGTAAGGTGGGAGTTGGTAAGGTGGGAGTTGGTAAGGTGGGAGTTGGTGAGGAGGGAGTTGGTGAGGTGGGAGTTGGTGAGGTGGGAGTTGGTGAGGTGGGAGTTGGTAAGGTGGGAGTTGGTAAGGTGGGAGTTGGTAAGGTGAGAGTTGGTAAGGTGGGAGTTGGTAAGGTGGGAGTTGGTGAGGTGGGAGTTGGTAAGGTGGGAGTTGGTAAGGTGGGAGTTGGTAAGATGGGAGTTGGTCAGGTGGGAGTTGGTGAGATGGGAGCTGGTAAGGTGGGAGTTGGTAAGGTGGGAATTGGTAAGCTGGGAGTTGGTAAGGTGGGAGTTGGTAAGGTGGGAGTTGGTAAGGTGGGAGTTGGTAAGGTGGGAGTTGGTAAGGTTGGAGTTGGTGAGGTGGGAGTTGGTGAGGTGGGAGTTGGTGAGGTGGGAGTTGGTGAGGTGGGAGTTGGTAAGGTGGGAGTTGGTAAGGTGGGAATTGGTAAGGTGAGAGTTGGTAAGGTGGGAGTTGGTAAGGTGGGAGTTGGTGAGGTGGGAGTTGGTAAGGTGGGAGTTGGTAAGGTGGGAGTTGGTAAGATGGGAGTTGGTCAGGTGGGAGTTGGTGAGATGGGAGCTGGTAAGGTGGGAGTTGGTAAGGTGGGAATTGGTAAGCTGGGAGTTGGTAAGGTGGGAGTTGGTAAGGTGGGAGTTGGTAAGGTGGGAGTTGGTGAGGTGGGAGTTGGTAAGGTGGGAGTTGGTAAGGTGGGAGTTGGTGAGGTGGGAGTTGGTGAGGTGGGAGTTGGTGAGGTGGGAGTTGGTAAGGTGGGAGTTGGTAAGGTGGGAGTTGGTAAGGTGGGAGTTGTAGAGGTGGGAGTTGGTGAGATGGGAGTTGGTGAGGTGGGAGTTGGTGAGGTGGGAGTTGGTAAGGTGGGAGTTGGTAGGGTGGGAGTTGGTAGGGTGGGAGTTGGTGAGGTGGGAGTTGGTGAGGTGGGAGTTGGTAAGGTGGGAGTTGGCGAGGTGGGAGTTGGCGAGGTGGGAGTTGGTGAGGTGGGAGTTGGTGAGGTGGGAGTTGGTGAGGTGGGAGTTGGTGAGGTGGGAGTTGGTAAGGTGGGAGTTGGTGAGGTGGGAGTTGGTGAGGTGGGAGTTGGTAAGGTGGGAGTTGGTAAGGTGGGAATTGGTAAGGTGGGAGTTGGTAAGGTGGGAGTTGGAGAGGTGGGAGTTGGTGAGGTGGGAGTTGGTAGGGTGGGAGTTGGTAGGGTGGGAGTTGGTGAGGTGGGAGTTGGGGAGGTGGGAGTTGGCGAGGTGGGAGTTGGCGAGGTGGGAGTTGGCGAGGTGGGAGTTGGTGAGGTGGGAGTTGGTGAGGTGGGAGTTGGTGAGGTGGGAGTTGGTGAGGTGGGAGTTGGTAAGGTGGGAGTTGGTAAGGTGGGAGTTGGTAAGGTGGGAGTTGGTAAGGTGGGAGTTGGTAAGGTGGGAGTTGGTAAGGTGGGAGTTGGTAAGGTGGGTATTGGTAAGGTGGGAGTTGGTGAGGTGGGAGTTGGTGAGGTGGGAGTTGGTAAGGTGGGAGTTGGTAAGGTGGGAGTTGGTGAGGTGGGAGTTTTTAAGGTGGGAGTTGGTAAGGTGGGAGTTGGTAAGGTGGGAGTTGGTGAGGTGGGAGTTGGTGAGGTGGGAGTTGGTAAGGTGGGAGTTGGTAAGGTGGGAGTTGGTGAGGTGGGAGTTGGTGAGGTGGGAGTTGGTGAGGTGGGAGTAGGTGAGGTGGGAGTTGGTAAGGTGGGAGTTGGTGAGGTGGGAGTTGGTGAGGTGGGAGTTGGTGAGGTGGGAGTTGGGGAGGTGGGAGTTGGTGAGGTGGGGGTTGGTAAGGTGGGAGTTGGTGAGGTGGGAGTTGGTAAGGTGGGAGTTGGTAAGGTGGGAGTTGGTAAGGTGGGAGTTGGTAAGGTGGGAGTTGGTAAGGTGGGAGTTGGTAAGGTGGGAGTTGGTGAGGTGAGAGTTGGTGAGGTGGGAGTTGGTAAGGTGGGAGTTGGTAAGGTGGGAGTTGGTGAGGTGGGAGTTGGTGAGGTGGGAGTTGATAAGGTGGGAGTTGGTAAGGTGGGAGTTGGTAAGGTGGGAGTTGGTAAGGTGGGAGTTGGTAAGGTGGGAGTTGGTAAGGTGGGAGTTGGTGAGGAGGGAGTTGGTGAGGTGGGAGTTGGTGAGGTGGGAGTTGGTGAGGTGGGAGTTGGTAAGGTGGGAGTTGGTAAGGTGGGAGTTGGTAAGGTGAGAGTTGGTAAGGTGGGAGTTGGTAAGGTGGGAGTTGGTGAGGTGGGAGTTGGTAAGGTGGGAGTTGGTAAGGTGGGAGTTGGTAAGATGGGAGTTGGTCAGGTGGGAGTTGGTGAGATGGGAGCTGGTAAGGTGGGAGTTGGTAAGGTGGGAATTGGTAAGCTGGGAGTTGGTAAGGTGGGAGTTGGTAAGGTGGGAGTTGGTAAGGTGGGAGTTGGTAAGGTGGGAGTTGGTAAGGTTGGAGTTGGTGAGGTGGGAGTTGGTGAGGTGAGTTGGTGAGGTGGGAGTTGGTGAGGTGGGAGTTGGTAAGGTGGGAGTTGGTAAGGTGGGAATTGGTAAGGTGAGAGTTGGTAAGGTGGGAGTTGGTAAGGTGGGAGTTGGTGAGGTGGGAGTTGGTAAGGTGGGAGTTGGTAAGGTGGGAGTTGGTAAGATGGGAGTTGGTCAGGTGGGAGTTGGTGAGATGGGAGCTGGTAAGGTGGGAGTTGGTAAGGTGGGAATTGGTAAGCTGGGAGTTGGTAAGGTGGGAGTTGGTAAGGTGGGAGTTGGTAAGGTGGGAGTTGGTGAGGTGGGAGTTGGTAAGGTGGGAGTTGGTAAGGTGGGAGTTGGTGAGGTGGGAGTTGGTGAGGTGGGAGTTGGTGAGGTGGGAGTTGGTAAGGTGGGAGTTGGTAAGGTGGGAGTTGGTAAGGTGGGAGTTGTAGAGGTGGGAGTTGGTGAGATGGGAGTTGGTGAGGTGGGAGTTGGTGAGGTGGGAGTTGGTAAGGTGGGAGTTGGTAGGGTGGGAGTTGGTAGGGTGGGAGTTGGTGAGGTGGGAGTTGGTGAGGTGGGAGTTGGTAAGGTGGGAGTTGGCGAGGTGGGAGTTGGCGAGGTGGGAGTTGGTGAGGTGGGAGTTGGTGAGGTGGGAGTTGGTGAGGTGGGAGTTGGTGAGGTGGGAGTTGGTAAGGTGGGAGTTGGTGAGGTGGGAGTTGGTGAGGTGGGAGTTGGTAAGGTGGGAGTTGGTAAGGTGGGAATTGGTAAGGTGGGAGTTGGTAAGGTGGGAGTTGGAGAGGTGGGAGTTGGTGAGGTGGGAGTTGGTAGGGTGGGAGTTGGTAGGGTGGGAGTTGGTGAGGTGGGAGTTGGGGAGGTGGGAGTTGGCGAGGTGGGAGTTGGCGAGGTGGGAGTTGGCGAGGTGGGAGTTGGTGAGGTGGGAGTTGGTGAGGTGGGAGTTGGTGAGGTGGGAGTTGGTGAGGTGGGAGTTGGTAAGGTGGGAGTTGGTAAGGTGGGAGTTGGTAAGGTGGGAGTTGGTAAGGTGGGAGTTGGTAAGGTGGGAGTTGGTAAGGTGGGAGTTGGTAAGGTGGGTATTGGTAAGGTGGGAGTTGGTGAGGTGGGAGTTGGTGAGGTGGGAGTTGGTAAGGTGGGAGTTGGTAAGGTGGGAGTTGGTGAGGTGGGAGTTTTTAAGGTGGGAGTTGGTAAGGTGGGAGTTGGTAAGGTGGGAGTTGGTGAGGTGGGAGTTGGTGAGGTGGGAGTTGGTAAGGTGGGAGTTGGTAAGGTGGGAGTTGGTGAGGTGGGAGTTGGTGAGGTGGGAGTTGGTGAGGTGGGAGTAGGTGAGGTGGGAGTTGGTAAGGTGGGAGTTGGTGAGGTGGGAGTTGGTGAGGTGGGAGTTGGTGAGGTGGGAGTTGGGGAGGTGGGAGTTGGTGAGGTGGGGGTTGGTAAGGTGGGAGTTGGTGAGGTGGGAGTTGGTAAGGTGGGAGTTGGTAAGGTGGGAGTTGGTAAGGTGGGAGTTGGTAAGGTGGGAGTTGGTAAGGTGGGAGTTGGTGAGGTGAGAGTTGGTGAGGTGGGAGTTGGTAAGGTGGGAGTTGGTAAGGTGGGAGTTGGTGAGGTGGGAGTTGGTGAGGTGGGAGTTGATAAGGTGGGAGTTGGTAAGGTGGGAGTTGGAGAGGTGGGATTTGGTGAGGTGGGAGTTGGTAAGTTGGGAGTTGGTAAGGTGGGAGTTGGTAAGGTGGGAGTTGGTGAGGTGGGAGTTGGTGAGGTGGGAGTTGGTGAGGTGGGAGTTGGTGAGGTGGGAGTTGGTAAGGTGGGAGTTGGAAAGGTGGGAGTTTGTGAGGTGGGAGTTGGTAAGGTGGGAGTTGGTAGGGTGGGAGTTTCTGAGGTGGGAGTTGGTGAGGTGGGAGTTGGTAAGGTGGGAGTTGGTAAGGTGGGAATTGGTAAGGTGGGAGTTGGTAAGGTGGGAGTTGGTAAGGTGGGAGTTGGTAAGGTAGGAGTTGGTAAGGTGGGAGTTGGTAAGGTGGGAGTTGGTAAGGTGGGAGTTGGTAAGGTGGGAATTGGTAAGGTGAGAGTTGGTAAGGTGGGAGTTGGTAAGGTGGGAGTTGGAGAGGTGGGAGTTGGTGAGGTGGGAGTTGGTAGGGTGGGAGTTGGTAGGGTGGGAGTTGGTGAGGTGGGAGTTGGGGAGGTGGGAGTTGGCGAGGTGGGAGTTGGCGAGGTGGGAGTTGGCGAGGTGGGAGTTGGTGAGGTGGGAGTTGGTGAGGTGGGAGTTGGTGAGGTGGGAGTTGGTGAGGTGGGAGTTGGTAAGGTGGGAGTTGGTAAGGTGGGAGTTGGTAAGGTGGGAGTTGGTAAGGTGGGAGTTGGTAAGGTGGGAGTTGGTGAGGTGGGAGTTGGTGAGGTGGGAGTTGGTGAGGTGGGAGTTGGTGAGGTGGGAGTTGGTGAGGTGGGAGTTGGTGAGGTTGGAATTGGTAAGGTGGGAATTGGTAAGGTGGGAATTGGTAAGGTGGTAGTTGGTAAGGTGGGAGTTGGTAAGGTGGGAGTTGGTAAGGTGGGAGTTGGTGAGGTGGGAGTTGGTGAGGTGGGAGTTGGTGAGGTGGGAGTTGGTGAGGTGGGAGTTGGTGAGGTGGGAGTTGGTGAGGTTGGAATTGGTGAGGTTGGAATTGGTAAGGTGGGAATTGGTAAGGTGGGAGTTGGTAAGGTGGGAGTTGGTAAGGTGGGAGTTGGTAAGGTGGGAGTTGGTAAGGTGGGAGTTGGTAAGGTGGGAGTTGGTAAGGTGGGAGTTGGTAAGGTGGGTATTGGTAAGGTGGGAGTTGGTAAGGTGGGAGTTGGTGAGGTGGGAGTTGGTGAGGTGGGAGTTGGTAAGGTGGGAGTTGGTAAGGTGGGAGTTGGTGAGGTGGGAGTTTTTAAGGTGGGAGTTGGTAAGGTGGGAGTTGGTAAGGTGGGAGTTGGTGAGGTGGGAGTTGGTGAGGTGGGAGTTGGTAAGGTGGGAGTTGGTAAGGTGGGAGTTGGTGAGGTGGGAGTTGGTGAGGTGGGAGTTGGTGAGGTGGGAGTAGGTGAGGTGGGAGTTGGTAAGGTGGGAGTTGGTGAGGTGGGAGTTGGTGAGGTGGGAGTTGGTGAGGTGGGAGTTGGTAAGGTGGGAGTTGGTGAGGTGGGAGTTGGTGAGGTGGGAGTTGGTAAGGTGGGAGTTGGTAAGGTGGGAATTGGTAAGGTGGGAGTTGGTAAGGTGGGAGTTGGAGAGCTGGGAGTTGGTGAGGTGGGAGTTGGTAGGGTGGGAGTTGGTAGGGTGGGAGTTGGTGAGGTGGGAGTTGGGGAGGTGGGAGTTGGCGAGGTGGGAGTCGGCGAGGTGGGAGTTGGCGAGGTGGGAGTTGGTGAGGTGGGAGTTGGTGAGGTGGGAGTTGGTGAGGTGGGAGTTGGTGAGGTGGGAGTTGGTAAGGTGGGAGTTGGTAAGGTGGGAGTTGGTAAGGTGGGAGTTGGTAAGGTGGGAGTTGGTAAGGTGGGAGTTGGTGAGGTGGGAGTTGGTGAGGTGGGAGTTGTTGAGGTGGGAGTTGGTGAGGTGGGAGTTGGTTAGGTGGGAGTTGGTGAGGTTGGAATTGGTAAGGTGGGAATTGGTAAGGTGGGAATTGGTAAGGTGGGAGTTGGTAAGGTGGGAGTTGGTAAGGTGGGAGTTGGTAAGGTGGGAGTTGGTAAGGTGGGAGCTGGTGAGGTGGGAGCTGGTAAGGTGGGAGTTGGTAAGGTGGGTATTGGTAAGGTGGGAGTTGGTGAGGTGGGAGTTGGTGAGGTGGGAGTTGGTAAGGTGGGAGTTGGTAAGGTGGGAGTTGGTGAGGTGGGAGTTTTTAAGGTGGGAGTTGGTAAGGTGGGAGTTGGTAAGGTGGGAGTTGGTGAGGTGGGAGTTTTTAAGGTGGGAGTTGGTAAGGTGGGAGTTGGTAAGGTGGGAGTTGGTGAGGTGGGAGTTGGTGAGGTGGGAGTTGGTAAGGTGGGAGTTGGTAAGGTGGGAGTTGGTGAGGTGGGAGTTGGTGAGGTGGGAGTTGGTGAGGTGGGAGTAGGTGAGGTGGGAGTTGGTAAGGTGGGAGTTGGTGAGGTGGGAGTTGGTGAGGTGGGAGTTGGTGAGGTGGGAGTTGGTAAGGTGGGAGTTGGTGAGGTGGGAGTTGGTGAGGTGGGAGTTGGTAAGGTGGGAGTTGGTAAGGTGGGAATTGGTAAGGTGGGAGTTGGTAAGGTGGGAGTTGGAGAGGTGGGAGTTGGTGAGGTGGGAGTTGGTAGGGTGGGAGTTGGTAGGGTGGGAGTTGGTGAGTTGGGAGTTGGGGAGGTGGGAGTTGGCGAGGTGGGAGTCGGCGAGGTGGGAGTTGGCGAGGTGGGAGTTGGTGAGGTGGGAGTTGGTGAGGTGGGAGTTGGTGAGGTGGGAGTTGGTGAGGTGGGAGTTGGTAAGGTGGGAGTTGGTAAGGTGGGAGTTGGTAAGGTGGGAGTTGGTAAGGTGGGAGTTGGTAAGGTGGGAGTTGGTGAGGTGGGAGTTGGTGAGGTGGGAGTTGTTGAGGTGGGAGTTGGTGAGGTGGGAGTTGGTGAGGTGGGAGTTGGTGAGGTGGGAGTTGGTGAGGTTGGAATTGGTAAGGTGGGAATTGGTAAGGTGGGAATTGGTAAGGTGGGAGTTGGTAAGGTGGGAGTTGGTAAGGTGGGAGTTGGTAAGGTGGGAGTTGGTAAGGTGGGAGCTGGTGAGGTGGGAGCTGGTAAGGTGGGAGTTGGTGAGGTGGGAGTTGGTAAGGTGGGAGTTGGTGAGGTGGGAGTTGGTGAGGTCGGAGTTGGTGAGGTGGGAGTTGGTAAGGTGGGAGTTGGTGAGGTGGGAGTTGGTAAGGTGGGAGTTTCTAAGGTGGGAGTTGGTGAGGTGGGAGTTGGTGAGGTGGGAGTTGGTATGGTGGGAGTTGGTAAGGTGGGAGTTGGTAAGGTGGGAGTTGGTAAGGTGGGAGTTGGTAAGGTGGGAGTTGGTAAGGTGGGAGTTGGTAAGGTGGGAGTTGGTAAGGTGGGAGTTGGTAAGGTGGGAGTTGGTAAGGTGGGAGTTGGTAAGGTGGGAGTTGGTGAGGTGGGAGTTGGTGAGGTGGGAGTTGGTGAGGTGGGAGTTGGTAAGGTGGGAGTTGGTAAGGTGGGAGTTGGTGAGGTGGGAGTTGGTGAGGTGGGAGTTGGTGAGGTGGGAGTTGTTAAGGTGGGAGTTGGTAAGGTGGGAGTTGGTGAGGTGGGATTTGTTTTGGTGGGATTTGTTTTGGTGGGAGTTGGTGAGATGGGAGTTGGTGAGGTGGGAGTTGGTGAGGTGGGAGTTGGTAAAGTGGGAGTTGGTGAGGTGGGAGTTGTTCAGGTGGGAGTTGGTCAGGTGGGAGTTGGTGAGGTGGGAGTTGGTGAGGTGGGAGTTGGTAAGGTGGGAGTTGGTCAGGTGGGAGTTAATGAGGTGGGAATTGGAGAGGTGGGAGTAGGTAAGGTGGGAGTAGGTAAGGTAGGAGTTGGTGAGGTGGGAGTTGGTGAGGTGGGAGTTGGTGAGGTGGGAGTTGGTAAGGTGGGAGTTGGTAAGGTGGGAGTTGGTGAGGTGGGAGTTGGTAAGGTGGGAGTTGGTAAGGCAGGAGTTGGTGAGGCAGGAGTTGGTGAGGTGGGAGTTGGTGAGGTGGGAGTTGGTGAGGTGGGAGTTGGTAAGGTGGGAGTTGGTAAGGTGGGAGTTGGTGAGGTGGGAGTTGGTGAGGTGGGAGTTGGTAAGGTGGGAGTTGGTGAGGTGGGAGTTGGTAAGGTGGGAGTTGGTAAGGTGGGAGTTGGTAAGGTGGGAGTTGGTGAGGTGGGAGTTGGTGAGGTGGGAGTTGGTGAGGTGGGAGTTGGTAAGGTGGGAATTGGTAAGGTGGGAGTTGGTAAGGTGGGAGTTGGTAAGGTGGGAGTTGGTAAGGTGGGAGTTGGTAAGGTGGGAGTTGGTTAGGTGGGAGTTGGTAAGGTGGGAGTTGGTAAGGTGGGGGTTGGTAAGGTGGGATTTGGTAAGGTGGGAGTTGGTAAGGTGGGAGTTGGTAAGGTGGGAGTTGGTAAGGTGGGAGATGGTAAGGTGGGAGTTTGTAAGGTGGGAGTTGGTAAGGTGGGAGTTGGTAAGGTGGGAGTTGGTGAGGTGGGAGTTGGTAAGGTGGGAGTTGGTGAGGTGGGAGTTGGTGAGGTGGGAGTTGGTGAGGTGGGAGTTGGTAAGGTGGGAGTTGGTAAGGTGGGAATTGGTAAGGTGGGAGTTGGTAAGGTGGGAGTTGGTAAGGTGGGAGCTGGTAAGGTGGGAGTTGGTAAGGTGGGAGTTGGTGAGGTGGGAGTTGGTAAGGTGGGAGTTGGTGAGGTGGGAGTTGGTGAGGTGGGAGTTGGTAAGGTGGGAGTTGGTAAGGTGGGAATTGGTCAGGTGGGAGTTGGTAAGGTGGGAGTTGGTAAGGTGGGAGTTGGTAAGGTGGGAGTTGGTAAGGTGGAAGTTGGAAAGGTGGGAGTTGATAAGGTGGGAGTTGGTAAGGTGGGAGTTGGTAAGGTGGGAGTTGGTAAGGTGGGAGTTGGTAAGGTGGGAGTTGGTAAGGTGGGAGTTTGTAAGGTGGGATTTTGTAAGGTGGGAGTTGGTGAGGTGGGAGTTGGTATGGTGGGAGTTGGTAAGGTGGGAGTTGGTGAGGTGGGAGTTGGTAAGGTGGGATTTGGTAAGGTGGGAGTTGGTAAGGTGGGAGTTGGTAAGGTGGGAGTTGGTGAGGTGGGAGTTGGTGAGGTGGGAGTTGGTGAGGTGGGAGTTGGTGAGGTGGGAGTTGGTGAGGTGGGAGTTGGTCAGGTGGGAGTTGGTAAGGTGGGAATTGGTCAGGTGGGAGTTGGTAAGGTGGGAGTTGGTAAGGTGGGAGTTGGTAAGGTGGGAGTTTGTAGGGTGTTGGTAAGGTGGGAATTGGTAAGGTGGGAGTTGGTAAGGTGGGAGCTGGTAAGGTGGGAGTTGGTAAGGTGGGAATTGGTAAGGTGGAAGTTGGAAAGGTGGGAGTTGGTAAGGTGGGAGTTGGTAAGGTGGGAGTTGGTAAGGTGGGAGTTGGTAAGGTGGGAGTTGGTAAGGTGGGAGTTGGTAAGGTGGGAGTTGGTAAGGTGGGAGTTGGTAAGGTGGGAGTTGGTAAGGTGGGAGTTTATAAGGTGGGATTTTGTAACGTGGGAGTTGGTGAGGTGGGAGTTGGTATGGTGGGAGTTGGTAAGGTGGGAGTTGGTGAGGTGGGAGTTGGTAAGGTGGGAGTTGGTAAGGTGGGAGTTGGTAAGGTGGGAGTTGGTAAGGTGGGAGTTGGTGAGGTGGGAGTTGGTAAGGTGGGAGTTGGTGAGGTGGGAGTTGGTGAGGTGGGAGTTGGTGAGGTGGGAGTTGGTGAGGTGGGATTTGGTAAGGTGGGAGTTGGTGAGGTGGGATTTGGTGTGGTGGGAGTTGGTGAGGTGGGATTTGGTAAGGTGGGAGTTGGTAAGGTGGGAATTGGTCAGGTGGGAGTTGGTAATGTGGGAGTTGGTAATGTGGGAGTTGGTAAGGTGGGAGTTGGTAAGGTGGAAGTTGGAATGGTGGGAGTTGGTAAGGTTGGAGTTGGTAAGGTGGGAGTTGGTGGGGTGAGAGTTGATGAGGTGGGAGTTGGTAAGGTGGGAGTTGGTGAGGTGGGAGTTGGTGAGGTGGGAGTTGGTGAGGTGGGAGTTGGTATGGTGGGAGTTGGTAAGGTGGGAGTTGGTAAGGTGGGAGTTGGTAAGGTGGGAGTTGGTAAGGTGGGAGTTGGTAAGGTGGGAGTTGGTAAGGTGGGAGTTGGTAAGGTGGGAGTTGGTAAGGTGGGAGTTGGTAAGGTGGGAGTTGGTAAGGTGGGAGTTGGTAAGGTGGGAGTTGGTGAGGTGGGAGTTGGTGAGGTGGGAGTTGGTGAGGTGGGAGTTGGTAAGGTGGGAGTTGGTAAGGTGGGAGTTGGTGAGGTGGGAGTTGGTGAGGTGGGAGTTGGTGAGGTGGGAGTTGTTAAGGTGGGAGTTGGTAAGGTGGGAGTTGGTGAGGTGGGATTTTTTTTGGTGGGATTTGTTTTGGTGGGAGTTGGTGAGATGGGAGTTGGTGAGGTGGGAGTTGGTGAGGTGGGAGTTGGTGAGGTGGGAGTTGGTAAAGTGGGAGTTGGTGAGGTGGGAGTTGTTCAGGTGGGAGTTGGTCAGGTGGGAGTTGGTGAGGTGGGAGTTGGTGAGGTGGGAGTTGGTAAGGTGGGAGTTGGTCAGGTGGGAGTTAATGAGGTGGGAATTGGAGAGGTAAGAGTAGGTAAGGTGGGAGTAGGTAAGGTGGGAGTTGGTGAGGTGGGAGTTGGTGAGGTGGGAGTTGGTGAGGTGGGAGTTGGTAAGGTGGGAGTTGGTAAGGTGGGAGTTGGTGAGGTGGGAGTTGGTAAGGTGGGAGTTGGTAAGGCAGGAGTTGGTGAGGCAGGAGTTGGTGAGGTGGGAGTTGGTGAGGTGGGAGTTTGTGAGGTGGGAGTTGGTAAGGTGGGAGTTGGTAAGGTGGGAGTTGGTGAGGTGGGAGTTGGTGAGGTGGGAGTTGGTAAGGTGGGAGTTGGTGAGGTGGGAGTTGGTGAGGTGGGAGTTGGTGAGGTGGGAGTTGGTAAGGTGGGAGTTGGTAAGGTGGGAATTGGTAAGGTGGGAGTTGGTAAGGTGGGAGTTGGTAAGGTGGGAGTTGGTAAGGTGGGAGTTGGTAAGGTGGGAGTTGGTGAGGTGGGAGTTGGTAAGGTGGGAGTTGGTGAGGTGGGAGTTGGTGAGGTGGGAGTTGGTAAGGTGGGAGTTGGTAAGGTGGGAATTGGTCAGGTGGGAGTTGGTAAGGTGGGAGTTGGTAAGGTGGGAGTTGGTAAGGTGGGAGTTGGTAAGGTGGAAGTTGGAAAGGTGGGAGTTGATAAGGTGGGAGTTGGTAAGGTGGGAGTTGGTAAGGTGGGAGTTGGTAAGGTGGGAGTTGGTAAGGTGGGAGTTGGTAAGGTGGGAGTTTGTAAGGTGGGATTTTGTAAGGTGGGAGTTGGTGAGGTGGGAGTTGGTATGGTGGGAGTTGGTAAGGTGGGAGTTGGTGAGGTGGGAGTTGGTAAGGTGGGATTTGGTAAGGTGGGAGTTGGTAAGGTGGGAGTTGGTAAGGTGGGAGTTGGTGAGGTGGGAGTTGGTGAGGTGGGAGTTGGTGAGGTGGGAGTTGGTGAGGTGGGAGTTGGTGAGGTGGGAGTTGGTCAGGTGGGAGTTGGTAAGGTGGGAATTGGTCAGGTGGGAGTTGGTAAGGTGGGAGTTGGTAAGGTGGGAGTTGGTAAGGTGGGAGTTTGTAGGGTGTTGGTAAGGTGGGAATTGGTAAGGTGGGAGTTGGTAAGGTGGGAGTTGGTAAGGTGGGAGTTGGTAAGGTGGGAATTGGTAAGGTGGAAGTTGGAAAGGTGGGAGTTGGTAAGGTGGGAGTTGGTAAGGTGGGAGTTGGTAAGGTGGGAGTTGGTAAGGTGGGAGTTGGTAAGGTGGGAGTTGGTAAGGTGGGAGTTGGTAAGGTGGGAGTTGGTAAGGTGGGAGTTGGTAAGGTGGGAGTTTATAAGGTGGGATTTTGTAACGTGGGAGTTGGTGAGGTGGGAGTTGGTATGGTGGGAGTTGGTAAGGTGGGAGTTGGTGAGGTGGGAGTTGGTAAGGTGGGAGTTGGTAAGGTGGGAGTTTGTAAGGTGGGAGTTGGTAAGGTGGGAGTTGGTGAGGTGGGAGTTGGTAAGGTGGGAGTTGGTGAGGTGGGAGTTGGTGAGGTGGGAGTTGGTGAGGTGGGAGTTGGTGAGGTGGGATTTGGTAAGGTGGGAGTTGGTGAGGTGGGATTTGGTGTGGTGGGAGTTGGTGAGGTGGGATTTGGTAAGGTGGGAGTTGGTAAGGTGGGAATTGGTCAGGTGGGAGTTGGTAATGTGGGAGTTGGTAATGTGGGAGTTGGTAAGGTGGGAGTTGGTAAGGTGGAAGTTGGAATGGTGGGAGTTGGTAAGGTTGGAGTTGGTAAGGTGGGAGTTGGTGGGGTGAGAGTTGATGAGGTGGGAGTTGGTAAGGTGGGAGTTGGTGAGGTGGGAGTTGGTGAGGTGGGAGTTGGTGAGGTGGGAGTTGGTATGGTGGGAGTTGGTAAGGTGGGAGTTGGTAAGGTGGGAGTTGGTAAGGTGGGAGTTGGTAAGGTGGGAGTTGGTAAGGTGGGAGTTGGTAAGGTGGGAGTTGGTAAGGTGGGAGTTGGTAAGGTGGGAGTTGGTAAGGTGGGAGTTGGTAAGGTGGGAGTTGGTAAGGTGGGAGTTGGTGAGGTGGGAGTTGGTGAGGTGGGAGTTGGTGAGGTGGGAGTTGGTAAGGTGGGAGTTGGTAAGGTGGGAGTTGGTGAGGTGGGAGTTGGTGAGGTGGGAGTTGGTGAGGTGGGAGTTGTTAAGGTGGGAGTTGGTAAGGTGGGAGTTGGTGAGGTGGGATTTGTTTTGGTGGGATTTGTTTTGGTGGGAGTTGGTGAGATGGGAGTTGGTGAGGTGGGAGTTGGTGAGGTGGGAGTTGGTGAGGTGGGAGTTGGTAAAGTGGGAGTTGGTGAGGTGGGAGTTGTTCAGGTGGGAGTTGGTCAGGTGGGAGTTGGTGAGGTGGGAGTTGGTGAGGTGGGAGTTGGTAAGGTGGGAGTTGGTCAGGTGGGAGTTAATGAGGTGGGAATTGGAGAGGTAAGAGTAGGTAAGGTGGGAGTAGGTAAGGTGGGAGTTGGTGAGGTGGGAGTTGGTGAGGTGGGAGTTGGTGAGGTGGGAGTTGGTAAGGTGGGAGTTGGTAAGGTGGGAGTTGGTGAGGTGGGAGTTGGTAAGGTGGGAGTTGGTAAGGCAGGAGTTGGTGAGGCAGGAGTTGGTGAGGTGGGAGTTGGTGAGGTGGGAGTTTGTGAGGTGGGAGTTGGTAAGGTGGGAGTTGGTAAGGTGGGAGTTGGTGAGGTGGGAGTTGGTGAGGTGGGAGTTGGTAAGGTGGGAGTTGGTGAGGTGGGAGTTGGTAAGGTGGGAGTTGGTAAGGTGGGAGTTGGTAAGGTGGGAGTTGGTGAGGTGGGAGTTGGTGAGGTGGGAGTTGGTGAGGTGGGAGTTGGTAAGGTGGGAATTGGTAAGGTGGGAGTTGGTAAGGTGGGAGTTGGTAAGGTGGGAGTTGGTAAGGTGGGAGTTGGTAAGGTGGGAGTTGGTAAGGTGGGAGTTGGTAAGGTGGGAGTTGGTAAGGTGGGGGTTGGTAAGGTGGGATTTGGTAAGGTGGGAGTTGGTAAGGTGGGAGTTGGTAAGGTGGGAGTTGGTAAGGTGGGAGTTGGTAAGGTGGGAGTTGGTAAGGTGGGAGTTGGTAAGGTGGGAGTTGGTAAGGTGGGAGTTGGTGAGGTGGGAGTTGGTAAGGTGGGAGTTGGTGAGGTGGGAGTTGGTGAGGTGGGAGTTGGTGAGGTGGGAGTTGGTAAGGTGGGAGTTGGTAAGGTGGGAGTTGGTAAGGTGGGAATTGGTAAGGTGGGAGTTGGTAAGGTGGGAGTTGGTAAGGTGGGAGTTGGTAAGGTGGGAGTTGGTAAGGTGGGAGTTGGTGAGGTGGGAGTTGGTAAGGTGGGAGTTGGTGAGGTGGGAGTTGGTGAGGTGGGAGTTGGTAAGGTGGGAGTTGGTAAGGTGGGAATTGGTCAGGTGGGAGTTGGTAAGGTGGGAGTTGGTAAGGTGGGAGTTGGTAAGGTGGGAGTTGGTAAGGTGGAAGTTGGAAAGGTGGGAGTTGATAAGGTGGGAGTTGGTAAGGTGGGAGTTGGTAAGGTGGGAGTTGGTAAGGTGGGAGTTGGTAAGGTGGGAGTTGGTAAGGTGGGAGTTTGTAAGGTGGGATTTTGTAAGGTGGGAGTTGGTGAGGTGGGAGTTGGTATGGTGGGAGTTGGTAAGGTGGGAGTTGGTGAGGTGGGAGTTGGTAAGGTGGGATTTGGTAAGGTGGGAGTTGGTAAGGTGGGAGTTGGTAAGGTGGGAGTTGGTGAGGTGGGAGTTGGTGAGGTGGGAGTTGGTGAGGTGGGAGTTGGTGAGGTGGGAGTTGGTGAGGTGGGAGTTGGTCAGGTGGGAGTTGGTAAGGTGGGAATTGGTCAGGTGGGAGTTGGTAAGGTGGGAGTTGGTAAGGTGGGAGTTGGTAAGGTGGGAGTTTGTAAGGTGGGAGTTGGTAAGGTGGGAATTGGTAAGGTGGGAGTTGGTAAGGTGGGAGTTGGTAAGGTGGGAGTTGGTAAGGTGGGAATCGGTAAGGTGGAAGTTGGAAAGGTGGGAGTTGGTAAGGTGGGAGTTGGTAAGGTGGGAGTTGGTAAGGTGGGAGTTGGTAAGGTGGGAGTTGGTAAGGTGGGAGTTGGTAAGGTGGGAGTTGGTAAGGTGGGAGTTGGTAAGGTGGGAGTTGGTAAGGTGGGAGTTTATAAGGTGGGATTTTGTAACGTGGGAGTTGGTGAGGTGGGAGTTGGTATGGTGGGAGTTGGTAAGGTGGGAGTTGGTGAGGTGGGAGTTGGTAAGGTGGGAGTTGGTAAGGTGGGAGTTGGTAAGGTGGGAGTTGGTAAGGTGGGAGTTGGTGAGGTGGGAGTTGGTAAGGTGGGAGTTGGTGAGGTGGGAGTTGGTGAGGTGGGAGTTGGTGAGGTGGGAGTTGGTCAGGTGGGAGTTGGTAAGGTGGGAATTGGTCAGGTGGGAGTTGGTAAGGTGGGAGTTGGTAAGGTGGGAGTTGGTAAGGTGGGAGTTGGTAAGGTGGAAGTTGGAAAGGTGGGAGTTGGTAAGGTGGGAGTTGGTAAGGTGGGAGTTGGTAAGGTGGGAGTTGGTAAGGTGGGAGTTGGTAAGGTGGGAGTTGGTAAGGTGGGAGTTTGTAAGGTGGGATTTTGTAAGGTGGGAGTTGGTGAGGTGGGAGTTGGTGAGGTGGGAGTTGGTGAGGTGGGATTTGGTAAGGTGGGAGTTGGTGAGGTGGGATTTGGTGTGGTGGGAGTTGGTGAGGTGGGATTTGGTAAGGTGGGAGTTGGTAAGGTGGGAATTGGTCAGGTGGGAGTTGGTAATGTGGGAGTTGGTAATGTGGGAGTTGGTAAGGTGGGAGTTGGTAAGGTGGAAGTTGGAATGGTGGGAGTTGGTAAGGTTGGAGTTCGTAAGGTGGGAGTTGGTGGGGTGAGAGTTGATGAGGTGGGAGTTGGTAAGGTGGGAGTTGGTGAGGTGGGAGTTGGTGAGGTGGGAGTTGGTAAGGTGGGAGTTGGTAAGGTGGGAGTTGGTAAGGTGGGAGTTGGTAAGGTGGGAGTTGGTAAGGTGGGAGTTGGTAAGTTGGGAGTTGGTAAGGTGGGAGTTGGTAAGGTGGGAGTTGGTAAGGTGGGAGTTGGTGAGGTGGGAGTTGGTAAGGTGACGGTGAGTCCACCGACGACGAAGATGTCGACGAAGCCTGAGTTGCGACGAACAGGTCGAACTCGGAAGCCGCCGGAGCGGCTGATCTTCCACGCGGTCCTGCCACCAGCTGCCTTCACCACGCTACTCGACGATGTATAGGCGGATGCTGACTTGCCTGAGCTCGACCCCGACGGTCATGCCGACCCCGAACATCGCTGGAACATCGCGACGATGACGGTGAAGGAAGTGCTGGCGAGCTGGAAGGGAAAAGCGGTGAAGGCCGCCATGGATGAGGAGATCCGCAGCCTAATCGGCATGGGCACGTGGGAGCTGGTCGAATGCCCACACGGGGTGAACATCATGAAGAACCGGTGGGTGCTGACGACCAAGTACCGCATCGACGACACCGTCGAGCGCGAGAAGGCGAGGCTGGTCGTGAAGGGCTTCACGCAGGTGTATGGCGCCGACTACGACGAGACGTACTCGCTGGTGAGCAGCTGCGGCACGCTGAGGAATTTCCTTAGCATCGTCGCTGTCCTCGACTTCAACCTGATGCAGCTCGACATGAAGAACGCTTTCCTGCAGAATAAGCTCGACCGGGTGCTGTACACGTACCAGCCAGACTACTTCGACGACAGGACTGGCCGGGTGTGCAAGCTGCTGAAGAGCCTCCATGGGCTGATGCTGTCGCCGCTGCTGTGGTACAGGGCTCTCGACGGCGTGCTGCAGGGCGCTGGCTGGAAGAAGAGCCAGGTCGACGAGGCGCTCTACTTCAAGGTCGGCGACGACAGAGTGACTTGCTGGGTGCTGGTCTACGTCGACGACCTGCTCGCCGCCAAAAGCAGCACCGCGATGCTTACGGAGCTGCTGGAGGCCGCCTTCGAGCTGGGCGAGATCTCGCCGGTGGTGAAGTACCTTGGGCTGGAGATCGTGCGCGACAGGGCGGCGATGAAGATGTGGCTGCACAAGCAGAACTACGCCTACAAACTGCGTAGGCGCTTCATCGACGAGGAGCAAGGCGGGCGGATCCCGAAGACGCCGATCTCGGTCGACGCCTACATCGAGCTGACATTCGACGACGAGGAGGCGCAGGAGCGCGAGGAGGAGGGGTACCGGCAGAAGGTTGGCTCGCTACAGTTTGCAGCAACAACGACGAGGCCGGACATGGCGTTCGCCTGCAGCAATCTGGGGAGCGGCCTCACGGTGAGGAGCGACCAGCATTGGCACGAGGTCGACCGCTGCCTCGCTTACCTCGACCCGCGACACCGCCCTGGAGTTCGGCGGTGGACCAGAGTCGCTGGAGCTGATCGGCTACGTGGACGCCGACGACGCGGGTGACTAGCAGAACCGGACAAGCATGGGCGGCTACGTGTTCGTCTACGGAGGAGCCGCCGTCTCCTGGTCAATCTCGCGCATCAAGTGTGCGACTTTGTCGTCGACCGAGTCGGAGTACGTGGCGGCCACGGATGCTGGCAAGGAGGGACGGAGTTCCCGCAGCTCGATGCTGGAATGCCGACTGTCCTCCTAGTGGACAACAAGTCGGCCATCGCGGTCGCTGATGGCTTGGGGCTGACGGGCAACCTCAAGCATATGGAGCGATGCTATGCCTGGCTGCAGCACATGGTGAGGCGCGGGAAGTTCGTGCTGAAGTACATCCCGACCAGCGAGCAGCCAGCAGACTTCCTGACGAAGGCGCTGCATTTTCCGGCTTTCAACCGGTGCTCTGTCGCCATCGGCCAAGTGCGCCTGGCCGACGTCGGCGACAGTGACGACCGTGCCCTTCTGCATGGGTGGTGCGGTGACGACGTGCTGTGTGTGGGGTGCACGCCGAGGACGAGTTTACTCCGTGGAGTGCTGCCATGTGGGCTGGGGGCCCAAGCGTGAGCGCGGCAGGGGAGTGTTAGCGGGAATGGAGTGTTGGCCCCGCCCTCGCTTGGGTGATGCAGACGTCCTGGTCGGATGTGCGGGAGAAGCAGCCGACCGTACGCAGTGAGGGAGCTGCTCGACAGGCGTCGTCTAGCTGCAGGGGATCACTGTGGTGTTGCCGTCGACCTGGGGTGCTCGACGGCCTTCTTCTACGGGTCAGGACGACAAAGTGGTCATCGACCTGCACAGGACTATCATGGGGCTGGAGCCGTCGATTAGGGAGCTCGACAGCTGTAGCTGACTGGGCTGGTCGACAGGAGGGCCATCGACCAGGAGGGACAGCTCGACGGGGAGGTCGACGGAGCAGTCCGTCTACCTGACATGTGAGCAGCGGTCGACGAGGGGAGCTCGGCGATAGCAGCTGACAATGCTGGTCGACAGAGGGGCCCGTCGACCAGGGTGTTGCTCGACAGGAGCTGTGGTCGAGAGAGGCACTTGGTGGTCGACCAGAGCACCTGGTGGTCGACCAGAGGCACTTGGTGGTCGACCAGAGCACCTGGTGGTAGACGAGGTCGACCAGGTAACCAGCTCAGCGAGTTCTGCGGAGGCACGCGAACGTCGTCGATGTCGCAGTGACAAAGGCGACTTTGGGCTGGTATTCCAAAGTCGATGTGGCTCGTCATGCGCAGACAACAGCCGATGGATGCACAACGGTGCAAGTCGGGCCAATCGTCTGCGCGCACCTGCGAGCGTGCGCACTGCTGCCATCTACGGGTGCAACGCTGGACAGCCGCACTGCTGCAGCGTTGGCACGCCGTCGACCTGCAGTGTTGGCAGGTCGCCTTTCTGCAGTAATGGCGCAGCTCCTCTACGCAACGCTGGCATGTGGTCGACCATGCAGTGCTGGCGGTCGACCAGGCTAGCTGCAGAGTTGCTAGGTGCGTGATGTAGACTTTTCTGTCATTGCTTGTTCAATATGGAATGCAATATTTGCAATGCTGAGAGACTTCCACGTCAAATATGTGTTTCAAGAGCTGAACCCGAACGAAAGACAGCTTACCTTCTACTTCGGGTCGGCGAAGGCCAGCTAAAGGATAGACAGAGTGATGTTATCGCAATCGATGATGCACTTGGTGGCCAGAACAACTCACCAGTCGATCCCGAAGGGGATCACCGACCACAAGTTCGCTGTCAGAGTCTGTCAGAGTGAGGCTGGTGTGGAAGGGACCGCAGAAGACAGGACCTGGTGTCTGGCGGTTTCCAGCAAGGTTGGCGACGCGTCCAGGTGTGGAGGCAGCGGTTGCTGAGGTGGTCCGGAAGCACTGCGAAGGAGGGAGTGGCGACTTTGACAAGCTGTCGAAAAGCCTGGGAGCTCGCCTGCGGAAGTACGACAAAGAGGAGAGGCGGAGGGTTAAGCAGACTAGACGGGCACTAGAAGAGTAAGTGGGAGCGCTGCAGCAAAAGGTGATGGCGGATCCAGGAGACGACGAGCTGCAGGCAATATTAACAAGTCGAGAGGTGATGATGCAGAGGTATTGGGACGGCCGAAGAAATCTCCTGCAGATCCGGACGGGGCTCTAAGTGCAGCTAAATGGGGAAGCGCTTATCAATTTTCAGTCGGCATTGATCAAAAGCACCATAGCCAAATCGGGGATCAAGGAGCTGGTGCGGAATGGAGTCAGTCATACATATGCGCGGGCGATCTTGGAAGCTGCCACCCACCATTTCAAGGAGGTGTTCGATGAGCACCCCACGGGGGACGGGGCAGAGTCGGTGCTGGAATGGACGCCGAGGAGAGTGATGGAGGAGGCGTCAGTAGAGATCCTGTCAAGGGACTGTACGGAAAGCAAGGTGAAGAAGGCGATAAGGGAGCTGGCCAATGACAAGTCGCCTGGCAGGGACAGCCTGCCCAAGGAGTTGTACCAGTGCTAGTGGAAGCTGTTGAGGGGGCTGGTGATGAAAATGGTCAGGCAGTTCGTCGCGACGGGGAAGCTGCCCGAAGTGGCGAACGAGGCAGTCACGATCCTGCTCTACAAGAAGGGGGAAGAGTCGGACGTAAGAAATTACAGGCCAATAACGCTGTTGACGAGCGTGTATAAAATCTTGGTGAAGGTGGTAGCGACGAGGATGAGAGCGGTGCTTGGCCAAGTGATTTTGGGCAAGCAATTTGTCTTCTTGGCGAGCAAGCGGCTTACGGACGCGTTGTCGATGGTGGCGGATATGATCGAGGCGGCCAAGAATGAGGGCAGTGACTGGTATCTCCTTCTGATCAACTTTGAGAAAGCGTACGACTCCGTGCGTAGGGGCTTCATGCTGGAGACAATCGCCAAGCTTGGTTTTCCTCCGTGTTTCGTGGGGTGGACTGAGGCCCTGCACAGTGACGTACACACGAGGTTGTGCATCAATGGGTGGACCGGGGAGCAGATACAGATGCGGAAAGGAGTGCGGCAAGGCTGCCCGCTTGCGCTGTACCTTTTCTTATGCACAGTGGAGCCCCTGAGCCGGCTGGTGGAGGAGAGGAAGTTGGGGATCGGGGAAAAGGGCAGCGAAAGGCTGGCGTACGTGGGGTACGCGGATGATACCACTTTTCTATTGGAAGGAGAGCAACGGTTGAAGAAGGCAGGTGTAATGCTGCAAGATTTTGCGGTGGTGTTAGGGCTGAGGGTGAACACTGGGAAGTCTGCGGTCCTGCCACTACGGAAGAACGTGGAGTTGCAGCCACCAGACGGACTGGGTTATAAGTGGGTTGAGAAGGATGTCGCGGAGAGGCTGCTGGGAATATGGATAACACCAGGCGGAAGCGCAGAGATCACATGGGAGAAAGGGTTTGACAGAGCGACGGGATAGTTGAGCAAGTGGCAGACCAAATATCTAACGACGGGGGTAAGGATGACCATCATCAACAGCTACGTGTTACCGGTATTCCTCTTTCAGGCGCAAGTATGTCCTCCAGATGACATGTTGTGGAGGCTGGTGGAAACGTTGATCGATAATTTTGTGTCAGGCAATCATACGGATACGGAGAAACACTTCAGGATCTGGAGCGGCGGGTTGACATACACACCGAGGGAGCTTGGAGGGCTGGGTGTGACTGACCCGAGAGGAAAGATAGACAGTGTAGCCCTGCGGTGCGTTGGGCTGGCGCTGATGCAGGATTGCCCCCTCAGACGTGGGGTGACGGAGCAAGCAGCGGGCTTACCTTTGGGCTGGGCGACGTTGTATGCACACAATGCGGTGCTAAATGGGGGTTTGATCCAAAGCAGGAGGTAGGCAAGACTGTGCAAAGCGGTGCTGAAGTCAACGGTGGTAAAAGTGCAAGAAGCAGCATCAAGATGGGAGGCGGCGGAGGAATATCTGTGTTTCAATAAAAACATCATCCATCGGGAGAAGGCCCCTTTTGGCGGACAGAAGGGCACCGAGAAGCTGCGGGGCTGGAAGTGGGATGGCACTATGGTGCTGAAGTCGGAGGAGACGCTAACGAGAGAATTGGGAGGCAAGAAAGAAGTTGAGATGGCGATTAAGGCGTTTCTTGCGGCGCGTGAACAGTGGAGGAAGTGGTTGATGGCGACACTGACGGCGGAGGAGGTAGCGGTTGAGTCGCCGGCAGTATGCACTAAGCTTCCGGGAGGGCAGAGGCGCTGAGACACTAAGGCGGTGAGGCAGTGAGGCGCACCAGCAGTGGTGGACTTGCCCACCCCGCCTTTCGTGGACGCCACAGGCACGA